AGATCCCCTGGCAGATGGATTTCGATATAACAGTAGGCCATAGTGCCACTGTCCGGGAAAAATTTCCCTCATTGTACGCTGTATGCCCGTCTTCATTAGCACAGTCGGGGCAAAACAGTAGGAAGTTAAACCCCATTTCATTTAAGTTACATGTATAAAACACATGGTCATATGCCATTATCAAAATAAGACCTTTGATAAGTTCACAAAGTGTGAGAAATGGTATTAAATATGTTAGTTACATGCTATAATATTAAATAGCTATTAAAACACCAGATGGTTCACATTATGTATAGATGGGCTTTCCCAAAACCTAGATTGTGTGAAACAAAATGAAATGGGTTTTAACCTCCCAATTTTCCTCTCCAACTGGATTATGTGTATGACTGAATCATTGCATTAGGTTGATTTAAAAATTGTTGACATAGTCCGGACATTGCATTACAAAATAACAGATCGAATATTAAAAGGATTACATCATTTTACAAACATGATCGACGTCAACGTCAGTAATTTGCACTTGGCTAGATAGACCAATGATGTCAATAAGTGTTGACTGAAACCCCGTTGTAAATTCGCTTATCTTTTAACTGCACATTTTGCTATGGAATATAGAAATATAATAAATTGATATTAATTACCCTTACAGCAAAGCATTATTGGATGGTTCAGTGAAAAAAAGAATATGAGATTTACCGGAAAGATGAAAGATAACTAGTCTCTATATTTTAGAATTCTGTTCTTGCTTGTCCTTGTGTTAACTGGCTATCACTTACATATTTATCATTTGATTACACACAATAGCAGCGATCTATGTAAACAGGCTGTTTGTTGTTTGACTGAAGATGTTTGATGTCCGTATAATGTCTTGAATAAATGAATGTTCTATCATCAAAGAGCACATTACTTTGGGAGTCAAAAGTTTCTGGGCGAGATCTGAGTGATATCGGAGTCCCTGGCAAACTCAACTAAATTCACAGTTTACATGAAGTATGGTCCCTGATCTGACTTATTATGTCGGACTACCCCCCCCCCCCCCTCCTAACCCCCCGCTCACCCCAAGCACACACACTTCCACACTGCAAAAGAAGCCTACAAAACAACTAATGGTTGGAATACTAAAAAATATGTTAGTCCTGAGGTGGACTTTAAAACCTCCTTATCCCCTACGTTCAATTTGGTATGAATTAATTATATAGCAAACATCCGTCTGCATATAAAAGTAAAGGGAGCCAACTCTTATCTCTTTGCTTATTTTCGTTGGTTTGAACCTTTCTAACACAATTAGAGTAACATGCGGCAATGTCTTGCTTAAAAGCATGTTTGAGGTTCACCATGAAAATCTTGAGATGCAAAAACTGGAAGTAGCATACTTGTAAAGATGCAACTATCCACTGTATATTTTAATGTAGCCTTCTAACACCTATTATTCTTCACAAAAAACCTGGCAGAGAATTTAAATTCAAATGAAAAAGGGAAGGGGGGTGGGGAGGGGGACCAGAAGCTTAGAGAAGGAGAATTAGTGGTCTCAATCCAAATAAGACACAGTATTTTTGTTTTTTTGTTTTTATTTATAACATTGATATATACACACACAATAAAAAGTTCTTATCAAGATGTAGCTGATGATGATGACATACTTTTTAGTCCATCAGGTTTTCTATATTTACACTGAATCCAAACACGGTACATTTTTAATTGTTTTCCTCGATTAACTTGCAATCTACGATCAACTATATTCTGTATCTCTTCTAAACCTGCTTTCTCAAACATTTTCCTTAATTCATCTGTAAGTAAAGTGATTGAAAAGAATTATTGGATTTAATACCAGGCAACATTATGCCTATGCGTCTGACAAAGAAGTGAGTCTAGTCGTTCAAATCGGACAAAACCCCGAATTCCCGATGTCGATAGGAATAGTAGGCAAAAAAAGATGCAATGGTAGTTAGAATTCGCAGAAGGATATTGGTAAATCCTGTTGTCCAGACACCCCTCCCCGCACCTCTTGTACACGTTACCATAGACCTACTTTTGTCTCAAAATTTTAAAGTGTTGACGAGACGTTAACAATTCCAGAAATCGGTTCAACGGTCGCCGATAAAAATGAATATTTATACAAAGGTGCACCAGCATTGTGCTTAACTAATTTGTTTTAAAAAAAAAAACAAAACCCAAAAATCCCCACTTCGTCGGGATATTGCGTACTTTTCTTTTTTTTTTTCTTTTTTTTTTAAAGTGCCACGCTCTTTTAGGTACGGCTCTTGTTTTGTTTATTATACATGTATCTCAGACACAAGATTAGTTTTCCCTATCATTTGGTTGTTGGGGTGGTATTAAAATTGGTATATATCCATTTAAACAATAATGCAATAATGAATTATCACTACAATCGAACAAATATTTCATTACGACAGAAAGAACATTATTTATTTTCTGTCATAATTATTAGTTTCACAATTTATTTTCCAACAGACGCACCCCTACTGCTCATGTAATTACATATTTAAACAAATTCATGTTTCTGTTATATGGAAATAATCTTAAATATATGTAATTATGATCACGTTTTCTGTGTAATAAAACAAAACTATGCAATTAAATGTCTTTAGCACCCGCGTTAAATATGCAGTTTACTCAGTTATTAATAGCACAAGGATTCGTGGATTGTGAAAACAAAACTATGCAATTAAATGTCTTTAGCACCCGCGTTAAATATGTAGTTTACTCAGTTATTAATAGCACAAGGATTCGTGGATTGTGAAAACAAAGACGTAGCTTGTCAGAAACAGTTCACCCACAGTATAGTCGACTATATGCGGGGTATAAAATAATGTGCTCACAAGAAATGGTGGTCTGTCGATTCGGAGGAACAAGTGACAACAATATACGTTTCAGTAAGATAATCAGATTACTGTCGATATATCTTGCTACTGTGACCGTTGTTATATAACACATGGAAGCCACGGTGCCTCAGTGAGTAAGTCATTGGTTCGCTAACACGAAGGTTCGGATCAATTCATGTGCTAACCCAATCTGATTAAAATGCAGATCTATATTTCGTCTTGGTTTTTTTTATACTTTCGATGGCCTACACTATATGAAGACCCGATAAGTTGTACTCGAAGGTCGTGTCAGGGGTTGTACGAGCTACCTGATGACGTCAGACATTGATTAATCAATCAGCGTTGACGTTTCTAGTGGTGTACCCACAGTTCCGTACATGACACGCCAAGAAATCGCCGTAACAGACCGTTTCTTTGGCTTATCCGTCACTTAACCAAAACGCCGGTAATATAACAACTCTTCCAGATCCTAGTGTAGTAAAGACAAATAAAACGAAATTTTGAACTATAAAAAACGAAACGAAACTGGATCTGTGTTTTAATCAGATTGGTCCTAACCGAAAAAATTCATTGGATTTCTCCTTGACGGCGTGCAAGTAAAAGATCCCCTGGCAGATGGATTTCGATATAACAGTAGGCCATAGTGCCACTGTCCGGGAAAAATTTCCCTCATTGTACGCTGTATGCCCGTCTTCATTAGCACAGTCGGGGCAAAACAGTAGGAAGTTAAACCCCATTTCATTTAAGTTACATGTATAAAACACATGGTCATATGCCATTATCAAAATAAGACCTTTGATAAGTTCACAAAGTGTGAGAAATGGTATTAAATATGTTAGTTACATGCTATAATATTAAATAGCTATTAAAACACCAGATGGTTCACATTATGTATAGATGGGCTTTCCCAAAACCTAGATTGTGTGAAACAAAATGAAATGGGTTTTAACCTCCCAATTTTCCTCTCCAACTGGATTATGTGTATGACTGAATCATTGCATTAGGTTGATTTAAGAATTGTTGACATAGTCCGGACATTGGATTACAAAATAACAGATCGAATATTAAAAGGATTACATCATTTTACAAACATGATCGACGTCAACGTCAGTAATTTGCACTTGGCTAGATAGACCAATGATGTCAATAAGTGTTGACTGAAACCCCGTTGTAAATTCGCTTATCTTTTAACTGCACATTTTGCTATGGAATATAGAAATATAATAAATTGATATTAATTACCCTTACAGCAAAGCATTATTGGATGGTTCAGTGAAAAAAAGAATATGAGATTTACCGGAAAGATGAAAGATAACTAGTCTCTATATTTTAGAATTCTGTTCTTGCTTGTCCTTGTGTTAACTGGCTATCACTTACATATTTATCATTTGATTACACACAATAGCAGCGATCTATGTAAACAGGCTGTTTGTTGTTTGACTGAAGATGTTTGATGTCCGTATAATGTCTTGAATAAATGAATGTTCTATCATCAAAGAGCACATTACTTTGGGAGTCAAAAGTTTCTGGGCGAGATCTGAGTGATATCGGAGTCCCTGGCAAACTCAACTAAATTCACAGTTTACATGAAGTATGGTCCCTGATCTGACTTATTATGTCGGACTACCCCCCCCCCCCCTCCTAACCCCCCGCTCACCCCAACCACACACACTTCCACACTGCAAAAGAAGCCTACAAAACAACTAATGGTTGGAATACTAAAAAATATGTTAGTCCTGAGGTGGACTTTAAAACCTCCTTATCCCATACGTTCAATTTGGTATGAATTAATTATATAGCAAACATCCGTCTGCATATAAAAGTAAAGGGAGCCAACTCTTATCTCTTTGCTTATTTTCGTTGGTTTGAACCTTTCTAACACAATTAGAGTAACATGCGGCAATGTCTTGCTTAAAAGCATGTTTGAGGTTCACCATGAAAATCTTGAGATGCAAAAACTGGAAGTAGCATACTTGTAAAGATGCAACTATCCACTGTATATTTTAATGTAGCCTTCTAACACCTATTATTCTTCACAAAAAACCTGGCAGAGAATTTAAATTCAAATGAAAAAGGGAAGGGGGGGTGGGGAGGGGGACCAGAAGCTTAGAGAAGGAGAATTAGTGGTCTCAATCCAAATAAGACACAGTATTTTTGTTTTTTTGTTTTTATTTATAACATTGATATATACACACACAATAAAAAGTTCTTATCAAGATGTAGCTGATGATGATGACATACTTTTTAGTCCATCAGGTTTTCTATATTTACACTGAATCCAAACACGGTACATTTTTAATTGTTTTCCTCGATTAACTTGCAATCTACGATCAACTATATTCTGTATCTCTTCTAAACCTGCTTTCTCAAACATTTTCCTTAATTCATCTGTAAGTAAAGTGATTGAAAAGAATTATTGGATTTAATACCAGGCAACATTAAACATATCCAACGTGATCACTCCATCTAAAGAAAACCCATTCAGATTTAATGGTATAAGTCGAAAGGGGTTACAGTAACTGTTTCTTAAATGGGTATTACTGCATTAAAGCGACGTAATAAAGTCCAACTTAACAATATGAGAATTAACTAGGTTAAAACAACAAAATATAGGAACTATATTTGAACTGGTCTTTTAAGCTTACACATGTATTTACTTTTTACAAATAATAGCATATCATGTGTAAAAATTAGATGTATACGTAAAAAGATGGTTTGGCAATTGGAATTCATAGAAGTGTAGACGAAATTTGCAATAGTCCAGGCAAAATCTTAGGTTTCAAAATGACCTAAGCAAAGTGTCAATGAAACATTGAACCTATTCACTTCAATTCTATTTATTACATATAGGAATTTTTAATAAGTATTCACAGCTAGTTTTTCAATGAGATAATGTGAGATTGTAACTTAAAAATTTGATCCTTTTGTTGATGTAGTTAATAATTTGGTTAAATATTGCAATTTCACAAAAATATTCAAAGGGTAATTAAACTTACCTTGCTCAAAAAAATAAACCCTTGTTCCATCTCCTCTAACATAAAAATTTTCACTTAAACATCTTCCTGTAAAAGTTGAAAATATCATTTTTTTTATAAAATGTAGGCCGGAATACAGCTAAGATCAAACAGCAATTAGTAAATGAAAAAACTAAATTAAAAGCACAATATTCCAGAATAAAAAGTAATTATAGACTTTCACCAAGTATTATTCAAATCAATCCCCAAGGTCGTCTGTGGGGGGGTTGCGTAGCCGAATGGTTTAACAAGTGCACTTCAGATCACAAGGTCTGTCATTGAGTCAAATGGTGTGGTTTCAATTCTCCACTATTGCGTGACAAGTAGGGTCGCCTGTACAACCTCGTGGGTTTTTTCTTGGGTCCCCAGGATTTCTCCCACTGTTAAAGACCCTAATGGGCAAGTAAATTATTCGAATATTGAATCATATGTAGGGCACCCCAAGCTGTCAAGATTTGCATTATCCAAAGTTGAACATACGTCTTCGAATATTTATGCTCAAATGACGACTTCTCAAGTGATTAAACAACAGACGCAGCACATGCCTTGTACGTAGTCGTCAGTATTAAACTATAAATAGTCATCACCGAAATGTCAACTAATAATCTAATACTAATGATTCTCAATTACAGTAATTGTCTTTTTTTCATTTCGCTAATATTATTGACTATACTGTTAGGAGCAGCATCTTTTGGTTTAGTAATGGTAGTGCTGTCTCCAAGACACTCGTCTTAGACAAGAACAGAATTCTAGTAGCATTTTCCTTTTCCTATTACAAGGTTCTTAAAACAATAGTTGAGTTGCTAAATTAGATTTCTTTTTCTAACTTTCTGTAATACGTCGAATGAAGTTTGAATTATCCAGGTCTGCCAAATAAGCCATAGACTGGATTAGTGCGACCAATGGAAAACCATTGCACTCAAAAATGCCTGGACGTTATGTCCACTACTAGTCGCAATAATCTACACCCCTGACGATATGTAGTTTTCAGAATTGGAAAGCAATACTTTTCATTTTAATTTACCTTTTCGACCTTTTGTTTGAAATTGTGCTATAACAGACACAACCTACCCTAGTTGCTATACAAACCGTTACTAAGAAAAATAATCCCTTTCAATTGTTTGAAATGGTAGGTTAAGTGATTAGGTGACAAGAAGAAGACTGTCAATCATTATGAAAAGATAGGTTGCCAGGCAACAAAACATACGCCCACAGCAGCTAAATCATCCGGGCAGTCAACAAGAGTTGTCGCATATTTTTACTTTTGTTGGTAATGAAACATTTATAATACACTAAAATCTGATTAAGAGTAAAAACTCATTAAGTAATTATCAGAAAATCATTAGAATTTGTTTGGCTTTTAAAAAGTTCTGCCCCATGCTAACGTTTAGTATACGAAACATTTAATATCATGGATTTAGCTGTTCAAGTTATCAAAATTCATTGAAAATCAATATACTTGTTCGTCTCAAGAGCTTAAACTTTGTATATCAATCTGAAGTCAATCGGATATTAACTTTAGCCTTTAGAGCATCCACAAGATTTTTTGGAGTGATCAAGGGCCATAACTCTGGCAGTAATTATCGGAAATCGATGAAAATCAATAGGATTCTTCGTCTCATGACCTTAAACACTGTGTATAAATTTAAAGTCAATTGGATATTAACTTTAGCCTCTAGAGTGTCCACAAGAATTTTTGAAGTGATCAAGGGCCATAACTCTGGCAGTAATAATCGGAAATCGCTGAATATCAATAGGCTTCTTTGTCTCATGACCTTAAACACTGTGTATCAATTTAGAGTCAATCGGATATTAACTTTAGCCTCTAGAGCGTCCACAAGCAATAGTAGACGCCGGCCAGACGGACGGACAGGGGCGACGACAATATACAACCACATTTCAATGTAGGCGTATAAAAACCTGTAGAAGATCTGACTGGTGCAAAAGCCTATCAAATTACTATCAAATTAGTAGATTCTCATGAGATTACTAGTATTATCCAAAGATTGACAATTAAAAGTTGCCACATAGTTTATTTAATAAAACTCTGTTTGAGAAGAGAAATATGTCAAACTGTTGTCAATTAAGTGAGTGTTTAAGATGACGGATGAACCTTTACCTCCACTGGGAAATGGGTTTGGTGTGATCTGTAAGTTTACCCATATAAATCTAGTCCTTTGGGTAAATCTCTACGGATTTCAATAAAAAAAAAATAATCAGATAAAAACTAATGATTACAAAAGCTCTAAATAAGGTGAGTTAATTATCAAGGGTGAGAAATTAACTGAAAGGTGAATTAATTATTGCTAGGTGTAAAAAACTGTGTGACAGTGCATTGTCAGTACAAGGTATGTTAATTAACGGACAGGTTAAAAAAAACAGATGACACAGTGGGTATTTTTTACCTGACAGGGTGTTATAACTGCACCAAAAGGGTATAATCAAGGATCAGCAGACGTAATAAGACAATTTATTGAATTATGTTAAATTGGCATTAGACACTCTCAAGTCTTAACCCCCAGTTTATACCAATTTGAAACAAAGAGCTACTGTGATTCAAGAACCAGTAGTTACATTTTCTATAGTGAAAAATTTCAAACCTTTTTTAAATCTAAGTTGAGCCATATCATAGCGACCATAATCTCTGAACAGAATAACACCTCCAGGTTTTAAATATTTTGTTAGACGATCAATGACACTTGCAAACCTTCAAACAAATATAATTCAGATAAAGTTTTGAGAAATCAACAGCAAATAAAACAAAAATGAGAGAGAGAGAGCGAGAAATGGGATTTAAGGTCCACTGAAAATAAAATGGGTTATTTCTGGACTTCCACATGGTAATCTTTATTGCAAATAAAATGGGGTTTTCTGAATCATCCGGGCTAATGAGGTGCTACTCTTATGTCAAGAATTCTTTTACGTGCACGTTGACGTGTACAAGAAACTTGGTTTTTCATTCCATCTGAAAAGGGGAAACCCCTTGCCTATGCCTTACTCACTGAGCCACTTGCAAGTAGGGGTAGTTTAGTTGTTGACTCACTATCAGACCTTATGATCTAAAGCTCACTCATTAAACCACTAGGTAAAACAACCCCCATACCACTCCCCCATTATCAAACAAGACACATTTCTCAAAACTTAAGGTAACAACTAAAGACTTTTTCATGAAAAGACATTTGGTTCTAAAAGTTGTGAAGCATGGATGGACGAATCCTCTTTAATAGTCAGTCCACTTCTTTATCTGTGCGACTATGTGACCAAAATGAACAGGACATTATTATATATTATCTTACTTGTCAGGATGTATAGCAGAGAGTACAAATATCATAATAATAATATCTAGTGAACATTCTGGAAATGGTACAGTAGATTCTGGGTTTGAAATATCACAAACAAAAGCATGACATCTGCTTGGGTCATAATCAGGATGATCCTAAAAAATATATTGTCAGTAATCTAGTACTTCTTGTAAGTTAATTGACGGAACATAATACTTAAAAGACAATATTGGTGTCAGTCATTATGACATTTGTGATAGAACTGGTTAAACACGTTCCATATATAATTTTAACACAGAGATCATTGCTTCAAGATGTGTAATGAAGATTTCAAGAAACAGAAGTGACAAAATCAAAAGGAAAACACGAGTTATCCTTCTATATAACTGACTGAAGCGACAAGTGATAACAGATACACGGGCGAATTTCTGCTCACTAATAATTCCTCCGAAGACCAAAAGTTGTTACATGAGACTATGGGAGGACATCTGACAATTCAAAAAAATAATTGACTGTCACTAGATAAAACGAAAAAAATAGAAAAAGTCTGTGCATTACCATGTTTTATTAAGTATAGAATAAATAAACACAAGGGAAAGTACGGACTATTTCTATTTTTCTCGGACTATTTCTATTTTTCTCGTTTTCTCTTATCCAGTGACATTCAATTACTTTTTTGAATTGTCAGATATCCTCTCACAGTCTCACATAATAACTTTTGGTCTTCGAAAGAATTATGTTAAGGTATGTTTTTTTTATGATAGACAGTGTGACAGGCCTAAATGTATAAACCTTTATAGTTTATAGTGTGTCACTGTAGGAATATAATTATATAGCTGCATATCAAACAGGTTGAACTGGATATAATTAATACAATATCACTAAGATTTAATATAAATACCTTAACGTGTCCGACACCAGTAGCTGAGAAATCACAACAATAAACCATTAAATCTGGATTACTGAAAGAATATCACTATATTTTACAATAATCATTTATAATTACTTTATAAAAACATTAATGGTCTGTGCAATCTGTTCTAGAAAATGCTTTATAATGCAGAGTTTGTAAAATATTTTCTAATCGTACCGGAGCAAAGGCTATATATTGCTGGGTTTGTGCAATCTGTTCTACATGTAGTTTTCAATTAGAAATAGCCTTCAAAAATAAAATATGTATGAAAAGTATGAACTATATTGATATGTTACTCACTTGTTTGTCTGAACAACAGGAAAAACTGTATTTCCAACACCACAACCCACCTTCAAATAATAATTAATAATATTTAAAGACACAACAATCCACATCATTCACATAAAAGTATGAAACCGAGAAAATTTTGCTCGAGGTTTTAATACTGAAATATTGAATGTTATGAGATAATCTTTGCTTTGTGGAAATGGACACAGACGTACTGAGATGAGGTTTAACAGCAACTCAACACTAACTAGTTCATTTCGAGACGTATATACATATATGGTACATAATAGACTTTAGAAGTGGGAGGAACCTAGACAAAACCCACAAGGTTAGACATGCGACCAGGTACTCCTTGCCACACACAAGACTTTGTGAAAATGGAATTATGCATTGTTTGAATATTTTATGTAAATGTATGATAGAAAGTGTTATATTTCACATACATGTCGTTACTAACAAGAATTGTCAGTACAGTAGCTTAAAGATGCATCATGTAAGATTTTAGATAAAGAGCTGGATATTCTTGCTATAATAGTTCAAAAATATATAATTAAAAATGAATATATTGATAATTTCATTCAAATTACTTTATTCTGAGCTAAGTTATGACAGTTTGGAGATGTAGCGCAGATTGTTTATTATCGTAACAACAGTACTGGACAAACAAAACTTGTAACATGGATGAGGAATCTTCCTTTGTCCTTTTCATTAAATAAGCAGATTGTTTTCACTCTACTATTTGGGTGGTGCTTAACCCTGTAACATCATTGCACACTTTTGCTAGTTTACACCAGTTTTAGTAGAAATCATGTGCAATAATAGTATTATTTCACCACGTCACTGGCGAAGACATGACTACTCTGCAATGCCTTCATCCGATTGGTTGACTGACACGTGTGTCGCTCGCTCTTATATTGTTGACAGGTGTTAATGTTGCAAGTTATTTATAGCACGCTTCATTCGTTAACAGGTGTAATACTTCAGTCTGATGGCTTCCTCAGTGGTTAAACCTGTTAATTCATTAAAACCATGCTATAAATATACCTTAGTCTCGATCATCCATTTTATTATTAAATTTTTTAATCTAGTAGGGCATTCTAATCCATCTATATCTCTGTCAAATAATAGTTTGTATAACATTTGAAGCCAACATAAATACCTGCAATAAGCAGATTTAGCTCTTACATAATGTATCTTTAATATAATACAAAATATAAAATTACTAACCTCAAAAAACCTGTATTTTGCATTTTGACCTGGGTAGATTTCAATTTTATCACATTTTGGGGTATTTTTATTGTCTTTTGACAACAGTTGTTCATCTTTCTTGTCAATACTAGTGTTTTCAGTCTTTGTTAGATTTGAACAGTTAAGTTCTGGGAATTCAGTGAACAACCAATGCCTATCTTTGAAAAATCGATTTTGATGAATACCATAGAAATCATCCCAAAACACATCTGCTTTTGTATCATATTTTTCTAAAAAATTAAATGAAGAAAGAATCTACATGCCGTACCTATTCTATGATGTAATAAATAGTTAATATCATCTACAAAAGATGACACTTCAAATTTCTTTCTTACAAAATCTATTAAAATATTCGGGGATAGAAATCAATTATTGTTCAGGTACTGGATAACAAGTTAAGAAAAACAAAATGGCAGCTTTGATCAATAGCAAGTATTGGGAACAGTGGCTATGGCCATAACTTTCAATGGTCGATTTGAAGTTTCGTTGACTGTATAATATTTGCAAGTTTACACGGAATTAACTAACTCATTGATATTGAAATAATTGCAGTATACTGTCAGCTTTTGATCAACAAATTTGTATTATTGGGTGGTATAAGGTAAATCGTCCCATGCTTTCATAATATTGTTGTATTCCAACAAGTACTTGTAAATGAATTAGCCAATACCTTCCTGCTGTACTTTCCTTATTTTAATGTTTTCCAGCAAGTAAGAGAATATTGGTACTTTAATGCTGCAGTTTAATCACCTCTCTACAAACTGTAGGGAACTCAATGAAAAATTGGAGGAGGGTGCTCTAAAAGAGTTATGGAACACCTTTGTTTTGGCAATCAATTTGAAACAGCTCAATATTTTGAGTTGAACTTTGAGACAAGATAAATTAGCTATTTCTGCAAATTTTGGTATCTGATCTTGAAACAAACTAATTTGTCAGAGACCCAGTAAAAAATGTGGATTGGTTTTAACCCGTTAACTGCGTAGAGCGTTATATAACGTCCTGGACAACTGCCACTCACCGGGTGTAGGACGTAATAGAACGTCCTGGAGGTATTTTCCCCAACCTATTCTTCGAACACGATCGCAGCATGTGTAAGACGTTATCTAATTGAAGGGAGACAACTCTATTTACCGTTAGTTTTAATTTGGTTTCAGACTACCAAATTTTGTATTCAGGAATGAAAAGGTCCAAAATGACGTTTTACGTCAAATTAATTACGCAATAGGGGGTTGTTTACGTTTTAAAAACAACGCAGTTAAGGGGTTAAAGAGATCCTAATACAAAAAGAGCTTCCCGATATCATTATTGAAGGAGCCACAGATTTGGGCTAACTGAAATGAAATGGGGTTTAACGTCCAACTGTTCTGCTCTAATGAAGATGCCATACAGTGTGCTATGAGGGAAATTTTTCTCGGACAGCAGCGCTACGGCCTACTCATATGCAGAATTCCAACTGCCAGGGGACATTTTAATTGCACTCCAATGTGTACACATGACCTTGATTTTTCATACCATCCAAACGACGAGACAGCTGTCCTTGTCAGGCCCTCCGTCCTGCACAACTGACAAGGGGGAACCACACTGGAAAATCCAGAGTAACTTTCTTAGCCAACACCAGGAGCGAACCTGCAACCTCCATGCTTTGTTAGTGAGATCTCACCATTTAGAGTCTACACCTACAGATACCAATATTAAAATTACTTAGTATTTGTACCTTGTTCGTCTAATGATAAAGCATGAGCTGCCTGTTCCAAAGTTTTCTGTTTGGCTTCCTGTTCTTGATCTTCATCCCAAACTACATTGTCCCTGTAAAACATAAAAATGAAATGGAAAAGATTTTTAATTCTCTTAAAGGGGCATTAGGTAAGATTAGCTTAAGCGCTGACATTCTTCCTATAACAGTTAAAGAATAGATAATGGAAACAGAATATGCTGAAAATTTCAGTCAAATTGCGTCACTCTGAACCAAGATATTAGTGATTCAATTTTATGCTAGCCTCGACGTCTAAAATTCCTGTATTTTTTAATGCTTCATTTTCCATTATGTATACTGTAACTTGACTTTTCCTTAATGGTCTAGTGTATGTAAGCGTTCAAAAATATCAGCCGAAAATGTAACTGAAAAATTTACAACAATGTTTCCTTACATTTGGAGTTGTTTAGTTCCATTTCGTGTAAGGAAAATAAATTAACAATCAGTTTTAAAATTATTTGTGGTTATGAAATATATCAATCTAATTTGTCTTGTAAAAGGGACTATCGTCCTATTTAAGAAATGTGTTTTTTGGCCGGACATGCATTATGAATAATCGCCATCTTACAAATGCAGTTTATCTAAAAGGGGCTCTGGTGCAATTTAAGGAATTATTTTTGACCTGACATTAACCATAGCCAAATTGCTTAATAACGTTGATCAACAAACAATACCAGTCAACTTTAGTACAAAAACATTGGTGAACTGATGGTAATCAACAAAAAACACCAGTAAAATTATCTTGAGCATGATCAGTCAACCAAGCTAGATGATTATTGGGTAAATAAAATAAAACAATATAAACAACCAATGAGTAAAACTTATATATTCCATACAATTAAAGTGTGCCTTATTCAAGTATCTATCAGTTATGGATGACATAACCATTAGTGTGGACGACAATATATCGGTAGCACGTCATTTCGGTCCCGAATCATTTCAGACTCAACACAGACAACGGTTCGGACTTACTTGAAGACAGTTCGGACTCGGTCTGGCGACGTTTCTGACTCGGATGAATAATTAAAAGACTTGAAAATTTGTGTTTTTTCGTTTTATGCAAGTCCGATAGTTGTTTTGTTTTATTTAATTGATTGGCAATTCTTGAGAACGCTAATAAAAAGACAACACTGATTTTACTCTGCTTGTTCTATTTTGTTTTGTTTCATCAGCGAGTATTGAACTTGACAATAAGATATTGTTGAAAATGTCTGTATATTTAGTAATACTGCTAATGTTTTTATAATTGTAATAGTTGTTTTGTTTTATTTAATTGATTGGCAATTCTTGAGAACGCTAATAAAAAGACAACACTGATTTTACTCTGCTTGTTCTATTTTGTTTTGTTTCATCAGCGAGTATTGAACTTGACAATAAGATATTGTTGAAAATGTCTGTATATTTAGTAATACTGCTAATGTTTTTATAATTGTAAAAACCTAAATGTCTTTTACGTGAGTCAGAATAATTGAATCAACACACGGCTGCCATAATCGCCAATTTACAACTCACATTTTTCCTCGTCCACTAAAGAACTAGGTTTCTTTGTGCATACTACAATAACATAGGGATTATCGGTTAATCACTTTGATCGTTGCCATTTCTAATAATATTTTCCAAAAATTTATCGATTGCTACATGTATCTATGGCAAGCTTGTCCAAGAATGCATGTCAACGTGTAGCTTACAGATTATCGTTAAACAATTCTAGGGGCTTGTAAAAACAGTGCATGTCGAGTAAATATTTACTTTTGTTTTTTGTGTAGACCATTTTGAAATAAATTCTACAACATATTATTCCTTTTTTAGAAAAAAAATTACTTCTACGGGAAACAATGTTTTATCATTTGGTAGAGTCTTTTAATAACCACATGTTTCATGTTAAACATACATTATGCAAGAGCTAAATCTGATTATTGCAAGTCTTTATTTAGGCTTCAGATGTCATAGAAATTATAAATTAGATCTTTATTTACACAACAAGCACAAAATCAACTCTGTAGACTCACGGATGGCTTGGATTCAGCTTGGATTTAAACGGGATTTCGTTGATTGATTTAATTTCAAATGGCGTCGTCAGCGGAGATTAACCGTTACATTGATGTCATACTCCCGGATCGAGGCTAAATGATAGAGTGTATGAAGCGAGGCCGCTGTTGCGCGATGCCTTAACAAATGACATCTAAACTATTTAAAGTGCAGTAAACTAAACACAGATAATGACAAATTATACAATTTCTGGAGACTGTGTGATGACTAATAATACAGACGGACAGGTGTTCTGTCTTAATAATATCAATAAAAATATTTTTATTTCCCCAATAGGCACGACACCACTGGTGTATAGGCTACCTATAGATTTATCATAATTGTATTATAATAGTATGTCCTATATTCAATTGATTTAATGCATGCTCAAAATACAAGTAAGAATGAAAATTTACCCTCTCACTCATTTTGTCCAATTGTTATAAAAATCAAAAAGGTAATTTAAACACAAATTCGGATATGATGACAGCAGACAAAAGACAGCAGAGATTATGTAGGTGGAGTTAATGCCTGTCAATCAAACGAAGGCCATACTAAGAATCGATGAAGATGGAATTCAATCCCATTTCTAGTCATAAATTACACTGGTGATAACTATGTTCAGAATAAAGTAATTCAACTGAAATTATCAATATATTCTTCTTTCATCATCTATTTTTGAACTGTTATAGCAAGAATGGCTAACTCCTTATAAAAATCTCCCATAATGTACCTATAATATTTTCTTTCGTGTTTTGAATTGGCCTGTTTCTAATAAATTCATCAGTTACTTTTTATATACATATTACCGATAAACATTCAACATTGAAAATTTTGCGGTTCCTTGGGAGATCTATGTGCTGTACTTGATTGCGAGCAGTAAATTTTACCTGCATGTTATTTTCTTATAAAATTGCTTTTGGTTTATTATAGATTATAGATTGTTGTGTTCAACCTTTCCTTTCAACTTATTCCCGAGTCCGAAACGTCCCTTAATCGAGTCCAAAATGTCACCTGCCCGAGTCCGAAACGTCGAGGCTATATAACTATATTTTTTTTAGTCCGAAATGACACGGGACCGAAATGACATGTAATCTATCCAATACCGTGTGGATGACTTAAACTGTGGACGAGTTAACTGGCACCCAATCAAGTCTAACTGCATAATTCTTGGAATAATTTAGTTTAGAATTTTATCTAGCATATATATTTTATAAATAATAAATAATAATAATAAAAAAATCATTTTGTGTCTAACCATCATTACCATGCATTATGTTGAAATACGTTCTGTTCGTCTGTCAAAAACCTTGTTCCAAATTGAGGCCGGAGTTTTTCCTCTTCAGGAATGTCAGTCGAGACACTAGCCATAATTCAAACGATTTACTATTTAATATTATGATATATTTTTCGTAAAATACATAAAAATATTAAATATTTCTCTTCCCATGTGAAAAAACGGAAGTTGGTTTATTTCCGATTTTATATGAGCAAAGATCACCCCAAGGGAGGTAAATCAGCTAAATTTTGATCAATTGGATTCAGACAGCAGCAGTTTCTTTCTTCTTTTTTTTCTTTTTTTTTATCTCCAGTGACTTTAATGTTTCATTTTGTAATTAAATATAGCATCGTATAACGTTTCTTTTGTTTTAAAAAATAAAATTCTCAGTATTGGTATCGTCTGATTAAAATCGTACTAGATTTTTAAAAATTAAATGATATTCAGCTAAGATTTTACGTAAATTTACAGATTAATTTAGTAGTGGCCTATGAGTTATTTACACGTGCATTTCGATAATAACTTAGTAAACGGAAAAAAAAGGGTATCGTTTTCTATTACAAATTATTATGTGAATACAAAGGGGATCCAAACTATGATTATTTCAAAAGTAGCATTCCTAATAAAGAAAACAAATAATAAACAAACACATATAAATATGTGTTTATCGTTTGAATCAACTGTTTGTCTCATTCCACATTCATTATTCTTAATATGTGTGGTGTGTCGAGATCGAAACAGTCAACTTGATTAACGATATGAGCAAGACATCCTGGCGTTCACAAATATATACGGAGTCTCCCGAGTTGGTCACCAGATATGCCCATAGGTGGTGTTGTCACAGTTGACCAAACATCGCTTACTCATCTTGAGTAGTTCTCACATTTTAAATGCAGGATCGCTGGAGTCAGCATTACATTACACCAGTTTCGTCCCCGTAAACAAACCATTTTGAAGACAAGCTGAGTATCTACCCTAACAGAGTGCAGAACTACCGATGCCAAAGAAACTTAGAAAAACAAAGCAATCAACAAAAGATAATTAGCTAAACAATTTTCAACCAAGTTTCCTTAGCAGACAACAATCGTTGCAGAGGGAGATATCATTTTAAATATATGTTTTAAATATGGTGTCTCTTTTATAAAACATTCAGTACAATTAAATAAATGGATGGTATTGGCATGGTGTGGCAGACCTCCAATTCGAAGTTAGCAGTAACCAAGAACCAAGCACCCGCCGAAGATTCTAAAATAAGTTTCATGAGTAGGCAGCCATTATTTATATCACTTTCCGTGGCCGGAGTAATGATTCTTCTAATGGGCGTTTGTGTTTTGTGGGACATCTGCATGAAACGTATTAGACTAAATGCCCTTCGATTGCGACGGGGGTCGACACCAACAGACGAGAAAGGGAACCACTACGAGGAAGCTATATTGAAAACCCCGTGTAAAACTCCAAAGACGAATAGAATAATAGTAACGAAAGAAAGAGAGGATGACACATCTACATCAGAAACAGACGATTCCGATGAAAAGTCGCCACTGCCCGATATTGATCCACAGGTAACAATTCTGGAATCATTTCTTCTGAATTTATTTTATCGAACTTTATCACAGAGATTAATTTTCTCAATGTATGTGGCAAATAATGTACGATATAAATAAAACTTGCTGGGATGACGAAGGGGAGATTTTAGTTACATATATGCCTAATCCAGGTTCTCTTTTCTTTAATGAGCAACTATGCGCGGAAGAGAATTATTGAATATGAAATAACGCACTCATGTGTTGGTTCCGAAATGACAGAGATGGTTGGACAGAAAAATGTTAATCTCGATTTGAATGAATTCGGCTTTTTAAAACTCTAATTGCAAATAATGCACTGGAAGTACCCTATCACACTAATAGTAAACTCTATATTTTTTGGTAGGATGCATATGTAATTTTTCTTATCAGGCAGCATTTTCACCCTATCATTTGGCATGGACCACACCAATGCCAGGTGTGATGGACTGTAAGAAAACATCTTCTACAACAAGTACTGCAGCAAAAGCCCTGTTCGTCCCATCAAGTGACACGTGTACTATAATAAACGAAAAAAGTTTAACAGACGATAGTATCGAGAGGGGCATGTATACCATCAATGAATGCTCGTCACGCGACTCAAGTAAGTTATATGTTACCTTTAACTATAACCCACAGACACGAAATAAAAGACTTGCACCACTGCAAAGGGTAAAAATTAAACCGGTCGGGAAAACCCGATGAACCTTCTCGGCCAACACCGGGATCGAACCGGCATATCCAGGTTAGCGAACCAATCTGATTTAAATATAGATCTATATTTCGTTTCGTTCTTTTATACTTTCGATGGCCTCTACTACATGAAGATCTGACCGGTTGTAGTGGAAGGTCGCGTCAGAGGTCATAAGAGCGGCTTTTCTATGACGTCAGACATTTGATTAACCAATGAACGTTGATGTTTCTAGTGGGTTACCCACAATTCCGTGCACCTCACTCCAAAAAATAACTCGCCGTAACAGACCGTTTCATTGGCTACCCCCTCTCATCATCCAGAACGCAGGTTATATAACAACTGTTCCAAATCCTAGTGTACCAAAGACAAGTAAAACGAAAGTTTGAACCTTAAAAAACGGAACGAAATAGGATCTATGTTTTAATCGGATTGGTTAGCGAACCAATCAACGCCTAATTCACTGAGCCACACAAAATAGTTATTTGTTATTCTAACGGCCTAAGACATAAACGACAACGCCACGAAATCAATAGAACGAACATTGAATATTGTCCCCTAATTAATATTTTTTTGTGATTCTTTTCCCTCCATTCAGTTGAAAGTCAGGAAAGGTCAATACTGGATGTTAACAGCTGTGATGTAGTCACGAATTCACCTGAACACATGACTAAAACAATGTCGAAGACTGGCTTCACCTCGGGTATGCTCAATCTTTTCTGTCTGTTTCTTAATAAAAAAAAATGGGATATTTCTTTTCCAATTTCTAGAAATAGCGAACTATAATAATAACATGATTTCCTTATCTGTCTACTTACTTTACTGATTAAATTACCCGAATTTTAATTATCATGGAATAGCCATCTTAACGACTGCGTACTTTACCTTACGAGGCCTCCGCCCTGGGTCATTGGAAAATCTCGGGATCGAACCCTACATCTCATGGTTAGTGAGCGTGCGCCTTGTGTTCGCACATGCATACGTGCTGAAGATGTGGGATGCTATCAGATACTCACACAGTGTCAGGTGATACGAATGGCAATATTGAGAAGTTCGCAAATATCTGGAAGTCTCCCTGTTTGTACCTATGATTATTTATATTCTTAGGTTATGCTAGTCAGTTGTCTGAACGCATATCACCACCAATGTCAACACCAACACAATTGTCACACCATAAAATCAGATCCGAGGGCGAAAGGTCATTTCAAACACCAAGATTGAACTCAACCACGTCATCAGATTACGTGTTCTCTGTGTCGTCACAGTTCCAGTGTAACCAGACACCAATCTTCAGCATACCCGAAAACACACCCCTTGCAAGTAAACTTCCTAAAAATTCTCAAAGACTATTTTTAGATTCGAACGTACCTTGTTCAATGAATATGTTTCGACGGCTATCTTCAGAAGAAGTATCAACACCAATGCTAAGAAAGTACAATGGACCAACTCCAGCAGTGCGAAGAGTTAGCTCTTCGGAAGAATGTGCTGAAACTGGCGGTCGACGCCCAAATAGCGGTTTAGACGATTCACTTATGTGGGATAGTTTCCAAATGAGGTCTTCGTCGGAGTCGCTTCTCTGGGATGATTATCTTTTAAATCCACCATCTCAACGGAAAGCAGCAGTCTACGATCAACATCCTCATTGTAATGACTTGACTTATTTGTCTATATCCGTGGTTGACCATTGTAGCAGTGACCTGAATGTTATCTAAATTTGTTTACCTATTTATTCATCAAATGTAGTGCTCAATCAGCTGTATAAACGTTTGCCAATGTTAAAATGATTTTATTAGGGCAATAGCAGCCATGTCTGATCTGTATATTTTTTAGTACTTTTGTACAAATAAATACATTTCATTGTTTTTGGATTGGATGAGGGTTCATTGTAAATTTATTTGCCGTCCGTTTCCACGATACAGTGGTATCGCAGACAATTTGAGTAAACTGTATCGTTAACTAAATTATCCGGATTTCTAATAACTGTGTCACGTGAGCCTAGCTTTAATAAATCGTACTTTTGGCTCAATAGGTTCGACATAAAAACATATATTTATTGGGAATCGATTTGGGTCTTGTATTATTTGACTTCATAATCGACAATTTCTCAAAATATATAAATTGAAATTACTTGGCAAAGCGTGAGCTCTTCCACAAGGATTATATGGGTAATTTGAAACTATTTTAGTATTATAGATGATGAACTTTAAAAAAATTAAAAAAATAGCAACGGATGATATTTTCATTTAAGGACTTCGCTTACCTAATAAACGGTTGTTTTACTTTTGTATTGTATGCAGTGCTTATCCATTTTGTGACGGAATTCCTCATTGTGTTTTCATCAAGTACCCGTTTTAAATGCTAATATTTACTAACCGACTATGTGTTACAATGACATTATTGTGCTGAATATATGAAAGACAAAAATATAGTTTTGTTATAAATATTGATTTTTATATTTATTAATCCCATGTAAATGATAATGGTATGTATAGAAATAAATTTATAAAATTGATGATCTGTTTGTACATAAAGTGTTTGCATGTGTATTCGTGTATGTAGAATGTTATGAATAAATCATTTGATTAGTTTTATTAACGATAGAATGTTCATGTTTGTGATGCCACACAGTTCTGTGTTGGCCACTGAAGGAATTGGATTTAAAGGAGCTAAATCGCTGACATTTGGGACCTAGAAATTAACACAAGTGGGTCGCAACTCATATAATACTGTAATGTGAATGTATATAAACTGATTTACATTCAATCGTTTCCGTTTTACTCTAATTTATAATCAGTTATGTTCCGTGAAATAAGCCAGCAGTATCAATCGAATGCAAATTCCTAGCGCCTGGTTATTCCAGTCTACATACGCTGTTTGGTTTGGTGCAATATGTCTAGCCTCGTTCCTCGAGTCTCTTGCTAGAACTGGGGCTGAAACGCATTATGGTACACGATTCGTGTACCAATGGTAAAATATTTATTTTGTCTTAAATATTGGATATCAGAAGCCCATCTTTTTCCGGTAAGATCACAGCATCAATGTTGTTTTAAATTGACAAATAATTCGTGTTTTCAATGTTGAAGATTTTGGATGATATTGAGTTAGAGACTTAGCTACTTTAAATAACTATTAGAGCAAAATGCGCTAAAACACGCACAATGTCTCCGGGAGCTTCGCTCCCATGACACCGAAAGAATGCTTCTACTGATAGCTTCCTAACGGGTTTAAAATAGCGACAGTTGTAAGAATATATTTTTGAAAAACTGACTGAAATTGATGTTTCTAGCATATGCACACATTTACGGTGTGGCAAACTTAACAATTCATCAAAAACGACCTGAATTCAAGAATAAAAAGGGCCACGAGTCTACCATACTCACGGGCTCATTCCTAGTCCACTCCTGAACTAAAGAGTATAAAATTCTCAACTCTGTGTTGGTTGCTAGAAATCAACCTCGTTCCCCAAATATGTCAGCATCATTGGTATTGTCCCACTGGTTCTTTGTTTTTAGAAAGCAATGGGGCCATTTTTCAGCAGTGAGACATTTGACCCACTAGATGCTATAATAATAATATAATAATGTTTTATTTTCATAAAGGGCTCTCGCTGGAGCATATCATATAATTAACAATACAATATTTACATTAATTTAAAACAATAACATATTTACATAAGTTAAAAACATGTTAATACAGTGCCTGAAGTATGTATATATTTCAATTTGGGAGGATAGCACAATGAATGATACAAAACAGTGATCAGTTATATACTTGAGTATTATGACTACAATTAGGAAATACATATATATCATGCCATGGTGGAGTACCTATACTGCTTGGGGGGTTGGATGGCCGAATGGTTAACACGTGCGTGCTGTATAAGGCCTGTCATTGAGTCAACTGGCGTGGTTTCCAATCCCCGGTTGTACGTGACAAGGAGTAGTGTCGCCTGTCCAGCCTCGTGGGTTTTCTCCGGGTCCTCCGGTTTCCTCCCACTGCTAAAGACCCCTACACGCAAGCGAATTATTGAAATAAAATTAAACCATATGTTAGTCCCGAAATGACCTAGTTTGTGTCGAGTGGACGTTAAACCCCATTTCTCTCTCACCTATACTGCTTAAGTAAATATATTAAAATTATATCAAAATTATAACTTACTTATAATAGCAGTCCATATTTAACCTTTCTAATAAGTTAATTGTATCATTAAAAAATGGGACCTACTGTCTGATTCATCGTAAATTTTAAACGGATTTCTTCGATTATGAACAAACTACTTAACTTTGGTTATTATAAACTTACCTGTGTGTTTGTAATGAACTCCCGTTCGATAAAATCCATTGCACAACTAATTATCACAACGATGAGAACAATTTCTCTCTTGAAAAATTTGAAAATTTACTTGTAATTTCGACAGAGTCGATGTCAACAATGTCTTCGTGACGTAATGGTCGAATCCAATATACCTGTTGCGGGGGTTGGTTAACATTGAAAGATAGTTTGACAGCGCGATCATTTTGATCGTATATGGGTTTGGGCGACGAAAAATATCAATTGAAGGCAATTACATAGGAGATTTATATGGAAACCATTGATCGCCAGTCTATCAAATTTTCTTCACAATTAAAATATCACTGATTGCACGGATACTCGTAAAAATAAAGTCATGAATAAACTATAAATATCCTATCTTCTTTATGTTATAAATAATTTAACAAGGATCATGAAGCTTACCTCCGAATTCTCTGAGTGTATTTTTAATTTTATACGCATTCTTTCGATCGAATAATAACCGCTTCAGTAACATCTTTAAGCGTGTTGCGGCAGCCCTCAGCGTGTCTATTGCCGTATTGGGTGCCCGGGTGGGTATATAATGCTACTAAGCCCGTATGACCCCGTAAGAAGCGGAACATTAATTCTCGATTCGACAGTTTTGACCGAAGTGTGATAAAGCCCGTAAAACGAATGTATAGTTGTGTTTGTGCGGCATGCGTGTTCAAAAGTAAATAATCCCATCCGAGTCGCTAATCAAATAATTAGAACAAAATATTTCAAAAAGTAAAGCTATAAAATTTGCAGAGATTTTACTAGAATGTAAAAGACGGTAACTAAATACAGGAATGCGGGTAGTTATGTGTGCGAACGCTCAAACTCAATGCCAGTTGTCGTAGGTATCCAGACCACTCGGACCAAAGACTACTCGGACTAAGACCAGTCGGACCAAAACAAGACCAGTCGGACCAATTAAATTATATTATAAGGCTAGACAATATGCTATTTATTTATTATTAAATCACAATACAAAGAAGCAAATAATTCTTATACGGAATTCTTATATTTAGAGTTGTTTGGTTCAATTTTGTGTACGGAAAATAAATCAACGATTAGTTTTAAAATTAATTAATAATGGTGCCAAAAAAAAATATCAATCTAATTTTTCTTTACTCTTGCAATGAGACTCGGTATGTCCAGACTTTTGACAGTTTCTACATATACGGGTATACTGTTCTTGTCTGATAGCCTAATTTTACTTTTTCCACATTCGCGGTATCCCCAGTGGTTTCATTCCGTTCTACCCCACTAACCCCTGGGTTACTATATATGGGGGGTGCATGGGGGGTGGAGACACGTTTTCAAGTTATCCGCCCTTGATGCGTTAATATAAACAGCACATAATAATATGAAGACCGGACGTTTATATGCCCCTTTTTAAACGTGACTACAAGTGTGGTTCTCGATATTTTGCGATTTGGAATACAATTATCAATTTATTCAAACAACACGTTATTATTAGTTCGAGTAGTCATATTAAAACACACACAATTATCAATTTATTCAAATAACACTTTATTATTGGTTCGAGTAGTCATATTAAAATAAACACAGTTATCAATTTATTAAAATAACACTTTATTATTGGTTCGAGTAATTATATTAAAACAAACGCAATTATCAATTTATTAAAACAACATTTTATTATTGGTCCGAGTGGTCTTTCTGTTGGGTCCGAATAGTCTTTTTGTATGGTCCGAGTAGTCTATTTGTTTGGGCTGAGTGGTCTATCAGTTGGTCCGACTGGTCTTGAACCGAGTGGTCTTTGGTCCGAGTGGTCATGGATTCTTGTCGTAATTGTACTTGAATTTCCTATGCTGTCACCCCTAATACGAAATGATATCTTCCGCAGAGTGACGTAACCATCTTCCATATTGGTATTTTTCTCTGGGAAAAGTTTGTGATATTTCAATTTTTCAAGAGAGAACTTGTTTTCATCGTTGTGATAATTAGTTGTGCAATGGATTTTATCGAACGGGAGTTCATTACAAACACACAGGTAAGTTTATAATAACCAACGTTAAGTAGTTTGTTCATAATCGAAGAAATCCGTTTAAAATTTACGATGAATCAGACAGTAGAGCTGGTACAATAGGATTTGTTAACAATTTCAATCATTTATCAGTAAACTAATGAATGGCAAATCCCCCTTATCCAAATCAGCAAGCTCCACATATAGTGCAGGTCACTGACATGGAAAAGAGACCAATGCAAAAGGGAGAGCGAAATGGGGTTTAATGTCCACTCGACACAAATTAGGTCATTTTGAGACTAATATATGGTTCAATTCTATTCCAATTATTGCTTGCGCGTAGTGGTCTTTAGCGCACCCGGAGAAAACCCCCGAGGTTGGACAGACGACCCTACTCCTTGTCACGTACAACCAGAGAATCAGTAATTTACCTCTTTCTTTTATGATATCATACCCAGGTCAGCAAATTTCGCAACCATATAATAATATACATGTACGTAAAATGGTGTGATCAAATACATGTAGTAAAATCTTTGGTAAGCAAGCAAGAGAAAAGAAATCTTTAAAAGAAAGTTTAAAATAAGCCTTTAGTACATACTAAATGCTCAACGTCTCTGGGTATGGACTGTTGATACTCTAGCAAATCGAGACTATGACCTAAAGAAAGATAACTCTACACGAAGTAACGACTGGACAGTAAAAGACTTGAATCACTGGTAATAGCACTGATCAATATATTATATAGATCACTTCTAGTAATACCCTTGACGTCATATAAGGTTAGACCTAATTATTAAAGTCACCTGCAGATTAAGAGATAGATGTATGGGGTTTAACGTCCATTCGACACAAACTAGATCATTTCGGGACTAACATATGGTTCAATTTTTTTTCAGTAATTCGCTTGCGGGAAGGTGTCTTAGCAGTGGGAGAACCGAAGCGCCGTCGAACAAAAAATGAAAAAAATAATTTTGTCCAATTCGTCTAAAAACCCTTTTTCTACTGAACATTATATGGGGGGAGGGGGGGTATACGACCGGCCATGGAGCGATGATGATCCTGTTGTATGTGGCCGGTGGCTTTAACGGGCCACCACGCCATCACTGGAGTCTGGAATGCAAATTTACTAATTATTAAGTCACCTGCACCCTGTTTGTGGGGATACGCCAGAAACGTCTGTCGATGGTTCGTAACTCCAAAAGAAAATTCAATTTTAAGGACTCAGCAAAATTTGTTGATAGCTGGTCTGCTGGCTGAATATGAGTGCGAGACCATTTCCTGAGGCTGGTGTTAAACATTCCTTGACATTTTTATTAACTCGTTATTTTCAGAGATGAAATTACAGAATTGGGGTGTCTGGAATGGTCTCAAATTGCGGGGAATGGCCTCTCATTTCCAACAATTCAAAAATGAATTGTGTCCCGTACGCCTATGCATTTCCGCTCCCACTCCGTCACCTGTTATACGGCCTTGACCAAGGGAAAGAACGTTATTTCAGTCCCCGACCCCATGCAGGCATCACGGTCTTCAGAGGCTGTTTGTGTATAGCTAAATATTGTCTCAGACTTTATACTATCATTCTCTCGAAACAGTAGGAACGAGGGGGGTTGGATGGCAGAATGGTTAGCGTGCGCGCGCTGTATCATAAAGTCTGTCATTGAGTCGACTGGCGTGGTTTCGAATCCCCGGTTGTACGTGACAAGGAGTAGGGTCGCCTGTCCAACCTCGTGGATTTTCTCCGGGTCCTCCGGTTTCCTCCCACTGCTAAAGACCCCTATGCGCAAGCGAATTATTGAAATAAAATTAAACCATATGTTAGTCCCGAAATGACCTAGTTTGTATCGAGTGGATGTTAAACCCATTTCTCTCTCTCTCTCTCTCTCTCTAGTAGGAACCAACAGCTTACTAGAGTATACTGCACTAAATGGATAGCGACTCAAAAAAACGAAAATTATAATCAGATATGCCACCAAATCGCATATTTGGGGTTCATTTTTCAAAATTTTCCAGGGGGAGAGCCCCCGGACCCCCCGTCCGGACTCCGCGGTCAGTAGAAGGGGACGCCCCGACACGGGAGCCCGGGCCGGTTCCCGGCCCCAGTCCGCCCCTGGGTTGGACAGGCGACCCTACTCCTTGTCATGTACAACCAGGGAATGGAAACCACGCCAGTTGACTCAATGACAGACCTTATATGATACAAACGCGCTACCATTTGACCATCTAACCCCCACAAATTTAGTCAAAGGTCACAAGATGTAAACAGGGCTAGCGCTAATCCTAATCCTACACCTAGACCTAATTCTAACTCTTACCCATAATCTCATCAACAACCACGTGCCCTAACCCTATTTTTATATCTGCAGATGGCCTTATTATTTAGGACTAGCATAGATTTATTCCACTTATTCTGTTGATTCTATTTATATCTCTATGGATCTAACCTATTTACGTCTATTATAATATTAATAGGTCATTGATCTAGTCCATATATATAGACGTCAATGAGTTGTCTTCCCTTGCAGTTCACACTAATTTTGCGTAATACTCATCTTTCTACGGCATTTTGTATTGACAGTAAACGTGCTCCTTGTTTGACGTTTTGTTGTCGAAGGATAATTTTTATTGCTTTACAATGTCGCTGTTGCATAAGAGGACATTTTGTGTTGTAACGGGTGCTAGTAGAGGAATAGGAAAGAGTATCGCTTTGAATATTGCACCAAATCTAGGAACTAATTCTGTACTGGTCCTGTTAGCAAGAAACACAACCGCATTGGCTGAAGTGAAGCAGATGCTATTATCGAACAGCGATAAAACAGCCCACACTATTCAAGTTATTTACAGAGGCTTCGACCAGGGATGTCCGGATCAGCAGATATTTGAACTCTTATTTTCAAGTATTTTAAGTGAAGCAAGTGTAGCCGCAAGCGATTTTGAACAGACTATAATATTCCATAATGCTGGAACATTGGACAATTTAAAATACTGCCCACAACTTGATTCATTCGCAAAGAATTCGGAATATTTTAATGTTAACGTAGCCGGTCTCATCGCTTTAAATGCCAAATTTTTGTCAACCTTTGATATCCAGCCGAAAGTTGTGATCAACATATCATCATTAGCGGCGAAGAAACCTTATAAAAGCTGGAGTTTATATTGTACAGGTTGGTGACCTATGTCTTTTCAGGGGTTAAATGCAATGTCAGTATGGGTGACCCATCTGATAAAGCAGAGTGACATTGGTTGGGCTACCACGACGAGATTGGCGAGGCGCCAAACCGACGAATCTGATATATTGAAGTATTGAGAATTATGTGTTTGAAATTTGCATTCTGTTGTTATATCGGTGGGCATTAAATAATAACATTCATTTGTGATTTAATATTTCATACATATATACATCAGGGGCCTGTTTCACGAAATTTTAACTAAGATAAAATCCAAATTTTAGTAATTTGATTGGATAATATTAGATTGATTTTAGTGCTTAGTCAATCAAAATTGAAGTATCTGCTAAAATTTTGATTTTATCTTTAGTTAAGATTTCGTGAAACAGCCCAGGACACCGAACTCCATTTACATAAATCATAAATCTATCATAAGAAAGCCAAATTCACGATGGGGAATTCAAGCCCGCAGCAGGCGTGATAATTTTCACAATTCAAACAAGTCGCACTCTAACCCGATTTCGAACTTTTCGTTTTTGTCATAAATTATTATAGGTACACTAAAGTCGTATTCTTTCCTTCAAATTTTTATAATGTTCATATCAAAATATCTTAATGCGCCAATATCGCAAATTCAGCCTTAAAATTGAAATTTACCGTCATTTTCATAGTCCCTCTCCTCCGGTGCAAACCCTATTTTCCAAAATTTCCTGTTAGGACAGCACCCGCTAGACCCTTCTCCGAAGTGAGGCGCGTCAAGTGTAGGTACATGGGCGCCCCCAGAAGCCCTTGCCCCCCCCCCCAACATTTTTGGGCAAGCTACGGGTCTGTTTATCTATTTAACTATACCCCTTGCGGCTGTTATTTGGAAACACTGTGGTGTAAGTAATACATTTCCTTCAACAAAAATATCTTACATTTATAACACTAATTTGAAAGCAGGTTAGTCAATTGCTTCCTTTATTTTACAGTGAAAGCTGGCAGAGAGATGTTCTTTAAAGTACTAGCAGCTGAAGACCCAAGTATACGAGTGTTAAACTACTCACCGGGACCTGTTGACACTGATATGTTAACTTATGCACGAAACGAAACACCCGATAAAGACGTCAAAGAGGCGTTTTTAGGTAATTATGTGACGTCTTTATTCTTTTCCGACAGAATATGTTTAAAACAAGTTGTCTGTTCAACACGTTCGAGTTCGCGGTGACCTTCACTATGTCCTGTCAAGGACTTACTACAGATATGTTAGACTGGCTGGTAAGTCACAGTGATGTGTGTTTAACATCTTACTAGCACATATCTGATAGGCTATAATAAGAGATCTACGGAAGCCGGGGATGGCAAATGGCCCCGTCCCATTTTATTTCTTGACTAAATATTCCAATCAAAATTCATGGATACACACTAGGTGTGGGGGGGGGGGATCCGGCGATTGTATGGTGATCCGGGGCCCGTCTCTGAAAAAAAACATTATCTTCAAAGAGTCTTCTATGAATAAAAACATAGTGTGGCAGAAGGTCTTTAGAATTGTTCAAAATTGAAACAACAAAAGCAGGTTAAATGCCATATTGACCCCATCTTCAATAGAAGGCTTGATCTCGCCTTAACTACGTACATCTTATCTTTTAGATGTTGTAAAACTCGCGGTCGTTGCTTCAGGAACATGTATTGACCCCAGGTTGCGTAGGTTCCAAAGTGTATACATTGTGTTTTATTCTGGATTGTTGTACCTTTCAATTCTCATATTTTGATCTATGGTTACAATATGAGACCTACACATCAAATTACCGAGTTAAAGGGTTATCTTAGCAAAATATGATCAAGACTTAATATCATTTCCATTAAATATATTCCGTTTTCTTCAACAAATACATTTTCTTTGTTATTTCAGCAATGAATAGTGATCAGAAAATGCTAAGTGCAGATACGACTGTCTTAAAGTTACTGGAGCTCTTAGAGAAGAATACATTTGAAAATGGCTCGCACATTGACTATTTTGATGTACTGTAACAGCTTAATCAACATAATAGTAATGCATGTTATATAAGCAAATATTATATACATTTATGTTATGCATGATTATTTTAGTTCTGGATATACGGTCTATAGTGAAAAATTAATAGGAGCCGGCCAAAGATGAATGCCATCATACCATGGTCACTATGTGTCCGGTCGGTAAGTGAGATGATTGCCTTGCGTGTGAACACGACGACGTACACTTTTGTGAAATTTTAAGCAATATTGTATTATGTTAATGTTAATTATTAGTATCATTAAAACAGTCTATCGTGATATTCAATCGACAACTCTACCTTCTAAGCGTTCACAATTTAATTAAAATTTCACCTTGTGAGACAAGGGAGAGGATGTCATCAGTTGCAACAACCAATTAAACGAATCTACCATCAGTGGTCTCACCAGAAATATTTTAATCATGATAAACTTACCTGATAACCCGCTAGTCAGTCTTTATAGATGGTCAGTATGGTCTGTCTGGTGGAGGGGGGTTGGATGGCTGAATGATTAGCGTGCGCGCGCTGTATCATAAAATCTGTCATTGAGTCGACTGGCGTGGTTTCGAATCCCCGGTTGTACGTGACATAGAGTAGGGTCGCCTGTCCAACCTCGTGGGTTTTCCCCGGGTCCTCCGGTTTCCGCCCACTGCTAAAGACCCCTACGCGCAAACGAATTATGTAAATAAAATTAAACCATATGTTAGTCCCGAAATGACCTAGTTTGTGTCGAGTGGACGTTAAACCCCATTTCTCTCTCTCTCTCTCTCTCTCTGGTGGACATGTCCTTCCTGTTATTAATCTATGTATTGTTTTATTTAACATTGTTTTATTTTTTATGTTGTAATGTTTTGCTTATGTCAACGTTTAATCTCGAAGTAATCAGAAATAATTCCATACGCCATTGCGATTGTACTTCGTTTGCTTATCTAATCCTTAGCCTTTCCGACTTAGTAGCAACCAATAGGTCCTAGTCGGTTTTCCTATGATTAATTATGGACAGTCTCTTTTTATATCTAAAGTCCGTGTTCTTTAATCAACAAACCTGCAAAGGAGCCCCTGCATTTCATATCATTTCCTTTCATTTCATTGTAAAGAAGCCGACAATATTCTTGGAGCTACAGTTTCCTGTTTTATTCTTCCAACTCACACCCTTGTTTCGTTGTTTCACACTATAAAGAGGAGGTAAGTATATCTTGAAAATAGGAGGAAAACTGACTCTCTGATACACGCGCTGATGTAGATTTGTGACATTCTGACATTTCACAAAAGCTATAACTAACTGGACAAAACACCTAGGAAGAGGACAAATGAAATGAAATGAAATGGGGTTTAACGTCCTACTGTTCTGCTCCTATGCTGGGCTAATGAAGACGGGCATACGCCATACAGTGTGCTATGAGGGAAAATTTTCCCGGGCAGCGGCACTATCGCCTACTCTTATATCCAATTCCAACTGCCAAGGGATCTTTTACGTGCATTCCAAAGTATACACGGGACCTCGGTTTTTCGTCTCATCCGAAGGACTAGACAGCTGTCCTTGTCAGGCCCTCTGTCCTGCATCACTGACAAGGGGGAACCACGCCGGAAAATCTGGATGAATTTCTCGGCCAATGCAGGGATCGAACACCCGACCTCCAGCCTAGCGAGCCAGCGTCTTACCAACTTAGCCACGTGATCCCCAGGAAGAGGACAACTTTTTGATGGAGGCCAGTAACAGAGACAGACCAAGTTGTTTAAATATAAAAGTATAACAGCTACTTAGCTATGCGGAATACTATAAGAAATGAAATGAACAAACGTCTGACATTCTCTATTTTACCGAGATTTCGCCTAATAGTTTGGATGCAGCTATGGCGGTTGTGGCGCCAGGCAGGGTAAGATTACTCTTACACTATTTTGCCTATACCGTTTTTTTTAGGGCTTCGAATTTTGTCTAATGGTTTAGATTGTTCGTACTTGGTCTTATTTTATTTATATCCATACACTGTTCAAACTTAGGAAGATCTCTCGGCACACTGTTTGAGAATCACTGAGTTAACCCGACGCCCGATTAAGCGTACACTATTAAAAATAATAAGGTAGTGTACACCAATTCGGGTGGAAACTAGTTGCCACCTAAATAGGGGTAACTCCTAGCCTTTTGTGGTCTGAACTGATAACTGTGGAAAATTAAACCAATTCAGGTGGAAACTAGTTACCACTTCCAATAGTGTAACCTGCCTGATGCACCCAGACAGTGTAATGTTACACTTAAATAGTTAACACCCGTGGATGTAGATTAAGCATTATCCCATCAAGGATGTTTTGTAAATTACACTTCCATTTTAACCATTACACCAACGCGGGTGTAATTTGTTTTGTTGGATATTTATTAAGACTACGACTTTAAGTTCAGACTTGAAATTTGCTATAGTATAGGGCGTTTAGCCCTGACCTATAGATTACATGTCGGCTACTTTGCTTCATTTTACGGGGAGCACGTGGCTAAGTGGGTAAGACGCTGGCTCGCTAGCCTGGAGGTCGGGTGTTCGATCCCTGCATTGGCCGAGAAAGTTCATCCAGATTTTCCGGCGTGGTTCCCACTTGTCAGTGATGCAGGATGGAGGGCCTGACAAGGACAACTGTCTAGTCGTTCGGATGGGACGAAAAACCGAGGTCCCGTGTACACATTGGCGTGCACGTAAAAGATCCCTTGGCAGTTGAAATTCGATATAAGAGTAGGCCGTAGCGCCGCTGCCCGGGCAAAAATTCCCTCATAGTACACTGTATGGCGTATGCCCGTCTTCATTAGCCCAGGTTAGGAGCAGAACAGTAGGACGTTAAACCTTATTTCATTTCATTTCATTTCATGCTTCATTTTACAACGACATTAAATTGACAAATATCCAACAGACTGATTCAAATTCAACTGCTGTTGGGCAATTAGACGATCTGTATCAATTTAGAATGAATATAAATCAATACTCATATCCCTACAACTTAGCTGAATAATGTGGTTTATTCATATTCAAAGCAGCAAAAGAAACGTCAGGTTGGTATGTTACTCTGAATAGACGCATTGCATAAAATGCCCGCCATGTTGTGCGACAGCACGTGCAGAATCCCTTCACAGCACGGCACGTCAGACAGTGGGAACACACGTAAGACCTATCAGTACCGATACAGTGCGCCGACGTCTCACCAGAGAGAACATCCATTGCCGTAGACCTTACCGTGGACCGATCCTCGCCCTTCGCCATCGACGTGAACGTCTACAGTTTATCCAACAACACCTGAACTGGCGACACAGGTGTGAGTCGTTATTGCGTATCAACTGCAGATGGCAGGACCAGAATATGGCGTCGACGTGGCCAGCGTTATTCTGACCAATGTGTCATGAAACGAGACTCATGGAGAGGTTCAAGCATAATGGTTTGGGGTGGAATCGTCCTGAACCAGAGAGTGGATCCTGTGGTGTTCCAAAATCTTGGTCCAGGGAGAGGAGGCAGCACCACAGCAGTGCGCTACATCGATCAAGCTCCCAGACCCCACGTCATACCATATTTCGCACGTCATCGAAACAACGTTTTCCAGCATAACAACGCCCGTGCCCAAACCGCAAGAGTTACCCGGGACTTTCTACAGTAGAACGGTGTCAACGTTATGCACTGGTCAGCCCATAGTCCGGACCTAAACCCGATTGAACATCTTTGCCTTTGGGATGAAATTCAGAGGAGACTTAATAACGTCGTACCGAGACCAAACACAGCCGATTGATTGCGCCAGGCTTTTCTGAAAGTGTGGTTCCCGGTGACAATGGCGTTCATCAATCGTCTGGTGCACTTCATGTACAGACGCTGCGCTGCTCGTGGTGGACACTCGTGGTGGACACACCAGATACGGATGTATAGACTGTGTACAGTCTAAACCTTTTCGTAATGTCTTGGAATTGTGATGAATTAATCACTTATGTGTTAACATATTACTGTTCACAAAAAAATTGCTTATATCCATTTAGTAAGTCGTTTTCTAGAACAATTTCATTAAAGCGAAAATTGCAAATTTTTAAGTTATATTTTTAAAATTTATTAAAATAAAGCCTGAAAATGAATGATATCCATAAACAGTCCTACCTTGTTAAAGAATAATCCTATAATTCACTATTGCCAGCTGAGTAATTGGCAGAAATATCATTTTCCTCTTCATTTTCAAACGTTTGAAAAAAACACTCCATGGTGGAGAATAGAAAACAAGGGAGGTAATTGGGAGGTAATTGTGTTATTTTTTCCTGTGTAAATGAGTTTTAAGTGTGAGAATGACACTTATGATCGTATAATTGTGAGTTGACAACCTATTGAGCAAAAGACATAGAAATAATTACGTTTTGACTTTCTTAGAAAATTTGCAATTTCCGCTTTAAAGTGCCTCTCTGATTTTGAAATCGTACTGACGTTTTTTTTTTGCTGTTTAGTATATTATGCACCTCGCCTGAATTAAGAACAAAATAAATCTAGATATAGTACTTGGTAATATTTTGGAACATTTACACATCTCTAAGTGTATACAAGCTAAAATAATCTAAACTTGAGGCGTTATGAGATATTATTAAGATTATTATACATGATACATAGACATTCAAATTGGAGTACAAACACTTTTGTAACGCAAGATACGGTGTTTCCCTAATAATAATTACACCTGTTGGTGTACATGCAATAAAACGCTTGTGCAGGTGTAGCTCATCCCAAACACCCTTTAGCGTAGTGGTGTAGCTTTTTCAAAACACCCCACAATTACACCTATTCAAGTGTTCAGTAGTCATGAATATCGGTTACACTTGTTATGTGTAGTTCTTTTAGTTGGTTACACTTAAAAAGGTATTACATTTAAAAAACGCTAGCTGTGGTGTAAAGTTTACACTTAATTAACACTGCTTATAGTTTTTTGATTACACCCATTTTCAACAGTATGCAATAAAATTTTTAAAATTCTGGCCTAAAGTGCGTTTAAGGTTACACAGGCTATAAAGCTTCAAAGATAAAAAAAAATATCGCAGCCCTTTGAGCTGCATCTAGATAAAGTCCAATGACACTATTTTTAGGCGGCTTGCCATTCGCCACATTCCCTGCTTTCCTTCAATTCTTGAGCTACCTGACACATAACACATGGTCCACAGCAGGACACAGCACAGAAATCTTTCATAACGGAACCCTGTTGAAAATTCATAAAATGCAAAATATTAGTTGACAGACTTGGTATAATTGGGAAATTTTCATACAAGAAGAAAAATATGGAAAAATAAACATATATACTGTACAAGTGCAATTCTTGTGTATTTTCTCGAATCTCACGTTATTGAATAAAAGAAGTCAGGACTTTGGTTGGTTGCTACTATTTCTATATTCTTTGGTTAACAAATAATGAACATGAATTTCAACATACAAATAATGTAACAAATATTGATATAACCGCCTAATGGTAAATAAGCTCTAATATGGATATGGGAATTGACATAAACGTGTGTCTCCAAATATCCAAATACAAGTAAATCAAGTCTGTCCTTCGGGATGTGATCTGAAGTTGGTTTCATTATGACGGGTTTGTAGAAAGACCCCCTCTTAACTGACTTGTTTGGGTCTATATATCTCCATGTATTACCTAGTGCACTAATCCTATAAGGGGTGTGTGTGTGGGGGGGGGGATTAAGGAGGATTAAGATCCATTAAAATATAGTTTACTGAATTAACTAAAACTGTGCGGATTAGTACGACGTATTAAACGTTAACTATTGGGTCGAAATTCACCATACGACAATACGTTGACTACATGGAATTTCTAGTTGATTTGAACGGGTCTTCAAAAACCTGTGATCTCCTATCATGTATTATTCGGTGGTTAGGTAAGGACCTTCCAAATGTAGCATTGGACGAATGAGTTCCACTGATTAAATATCCAGTGGATTTCAAATCACAGAGTGTTGGAACAATGGATTTTCTCTCTCCAGTTTTGCCAGATATTCTTAGAAATTCTTGATAGCTGGGTATACGACAAAAGTGAACTGTCTTTGGAGGAACCAATATGTTTTTGTTTTTTGGATTTTTTCCATTGAACCGCCATATTCAGTTTGTTGGATTTCTTGGAGATTCATGTTTACTTTACCTGTATTCCAAGACGTCCTCTGACGTAAGATCGAATTGGTAACAAGTAACCAGGGCAGCACCACCCAAGACAACAATGTTCATCAGCTTTGGTCACCATGTAGCAACCGTAACATTCAAAACAGAATGTCGACAGTAAGCCTTAAAATAAAGTTATACATTTTTCTTATCTTATACTGTACAGTAATTCTTGATTGTAATGTAGTGAAGGCACAAATAGCTGGGATTATAATGTCCAGATTGTGCGCGTACAGACCACGCGAATGTGTATGCGCGTGGAAGGGGGCAGTATTTTAGCTGTTAGAAAAAATATTGAAGATATTTTGCTATGCCTAACATTTATAGGTGGCGTTGATTTGTTTATAATTTATCGCCAACAGAGTATGCTGAATGCAGAAAAATAAGATGGCTACCTTGCCGCCGCCGTGATGGTTATGGGAGCAGTAGAATATTCATTACACGTCAACGAAGTCTTTGTTTCTTACTACTTATAGTTATAGCAACATTAATCTATGTTCCCCTAACCTTATTTTGATTATTTGATTATGCTATTTTGGATATCCAGTGTCGAGGGAAAATAAGGACTTCCAATTTAAGCTGCAATAAAAAAAATGTTAATCTTACATATAGGAAGATCATTAAAGCAGCCACCCAATCCATTTCTCCATTCTCTTTTGTTTCTTATTTGAACCCCTGGCTGTTGAACAACCACAGTTGTATGTGATGTATGATGTTGTGCATAACCTGGATTGCCATATGCATTTTGTTGATGGTTATACGTTTGGTTACCATATTGCTAAAAAAGAGTTTTAAAATGTATTTCTGTATCGTGATTTAACATGTTTTAATTTGTTGTTGCATCCCCCCTATGCTTTAATAAGAACCGTCGAATGGGCTCTGATAGCCTGGGACGAAATGGGAGTCGCTTAAATGGTGCTTTTTGGTGGAAACCAATACATTCCTGCTGGAGTTACATTTTAAAAATAAATTTGTCAGGATTGGAACCAAGCAAACATGTTCGTCAAGAATTATTTTACGATTAAATTCGTTATTTCTGGTTGGATACCTATCAATATTTATGTTTTAATCAATCAATCGACATTCTTTGTTGAGATAGTCGACGTCGGCAAAGTTTATCGATGGCTTAATTGGCTTTACGATACGACCTCATATTGATCAATATACAGCACATCCATCATTGTTTGGGGATCACGTGGCTAAGTGGGTAAGACGCTAGCTCGCTAGCCTGGAGGTCGGGTGTTCGATCCCTGCATTGGCCGAGAAAGTTCATCCAGATTTTCCGGCGTGGTTCTCCCTTGTCAGTGATGCAGGACGGAGGGGCTGACAAGGAAAGCTGTCTAGTCGTTCGGATGGGACGAAAAACCGAGGTCCCGTGTACACATTGGCGTGCACGTAAAAGATCCCTTGGCAGTTGGAATTCGATATAAGAGTAGGCCGTAGTGCCGCTGTCCGGGCACGATGTAAATGCGCGACATATACGAGCACCAAACGTTCCATGTCCGTTATCATCCGTTAAACGTCCACTGTATCCTCTCTGCATCCTCTGGGCATCCTCGCAACTCACATCCGCTCCAGATGAAAACGGAAAGAGGGAGGAAAGATAAGGTACATGGAACGTCTATACATCGTTTAGAGCACGGAAATAGAAAGGATGTAAGCGTATGCATCTCGTATATAAAGTTTTCAAAACGGACAAAGCGTTTGTATCTGGGATGTATCTGGTATATTGAAGGATCAGGCCCGGCGGAGTAGGGGGGCTGGGGGGGGGGGGGCTTGGCTAAAGACCCCCCCCCTCCCCCAATATTTTGGCCGCAAGTACCCTTTTCTCCAAGTTGTTGCACGCAAGTAAGTATTCTATTAAAAACAAAAAGGCTTGAATTTAACATAGAAGTGAGACTTCTAGAACGTAGACTTTCAGAAGAAGAAAACCCTGCTATGCTCTATACTGTTCCCAGAGTTAAGAGACCCGTGGTTGCGAGGGTCGCAATTAGATAACTGAACGGTCGATCTTTATTTTAAGTCCATCTCATGTCTGTTCTATCTATGATATATTAGGTAATTAGAAAAACGACGGGATAGAGTTTTATTTATACTCTTATCCATCAAATAATTCAATAAGCGGTTACATGCAAGATATGCCCACATTTTGTAAGAAATGGACGGGGAAGAGGTTAAAACAAAAGGGCTATCCTATCATTCAAGATCATTTGATCCTTAACATATTTAAGTTTCATCAGAATGGGATAACAATGGTAGCCCCCCCCCCCCCCAACACACACCTGGAGTGCCTACAAAATCCGTGCATATTTCAGATTTTGCGTGAAAAGCAGGGGCTATAGCTCTAGAATTTAAGGTCTGATGCTACCAAAGTCGAACTGATCCAAGAACTTTTGATCCTTAACAAACAGTTGAAGTTCATAGTACACAAACTTCATTCATATTTAACATTTTGTGTAAAAGGCAGGAGCAGATGCGCAAGCAAATGGAACCCACCCATGAACTAGTGATACTCTTTTTAAGTTTCATCTAAATCGGATAAAATTGTGACCTCTAGATGGTCCACAACCTGGGTATTACATGATTTTATTATACTATTTTCGAAAAGGGTAGTGGCTATTTGACAGGGAAGTTTCGGTCCGATTTTACGGAAATAATTATTGTGTAACGGTGATATATTTGAACAGTTTTGAAAATAGATACAAATTATGACCTCATGAGGACCCGTAAGCTAAAAGCGTGATATTTCCTACAATCAGGGGATCAGAATCCAGAAAGTTACGGTCCAATACGAGCCAATATCGAAGACACCCAGATCTATGGGATATAAATATATATTTTAAATTTCATCAAAATTGGATAAAAAAATTCGAACCGTTGGATGGTCTACAACCTGGGTATTACGATCAGATCCTAATGTTAAAGCTACTGGCAGATTTCGTCAAGGTCACGACATGTAAACAGGGTTGGGGCAAGTAATTGTTGCAGAGGATTGTGAGTTAGGGTAAGGGTTTGCGCTAGCCCTGTTTACATCTCGTGACATTGGCGAAATCTGCAGGTGGCCTTAATATTTAGATCTTAACTGAATATTATATGCTTTTAGGGGAGCGGCCATTTTGTCGGGCAGCGGGGTCTCATTTTCAGGAAATGTGAACTCAACCGTAATTATGGTGTAACGGTGATTTATTCGAATGCCTTTTAAATCGGATAAAAATTGTAACCTTTAGAGGGACCACAAGCTAAAAACGCGATTTAATCCAGGAAGTTACAATCAGATATGTGCGAATACGGAAAGGAACCAAACATACATTTTAAGTTTCATCAAAATTGGATGAAAATTGTGACCTCTAGAGTGTCCATAAACTAAAACTGTCATTTTTCGAACAATCAGAGGTCATAATCCATGACGTTACGATCCAATACATGCCAATTTCGAAAGAAACCGAGATTTTTGGGAGATAGACCTATATTTCAAGTATCGTCAATTTCGGATAAAAAAATTTTTGACCTGCTATAATTGAATGTTTTTTTTACAATCAAATAAAAACTGTTACTTCTACTGGGTCCACGGTTTGTAAAATCAGGGGCTATAATCCAGGAAATGACGGTCCTATATACGCAAATATCGAAAGGAACTGAGGTCTTTCGGTACTAAACGTACATTGTAAGTTCCATCATGCATTATGCATATATTTGTCAAGTTCAGCATAACAGGATTAAACCACCATAGATTGTGTTTTTGTGGTAAGGGAGTTAAAAATGAAATAAAATTTCAATTCATTGCTAAGTAATTTTATTAGCCAGAAATCGCTTAGAAAGCGTCTCCGACGATCTAGATCCCCAAGAGATCCCGGGGCCTAGGCGGCCCCTGGACCCTCGCCTAAGGACTTAGGATGGTAGCCCCCCCCCCCCCCAATCAAGAATTGCTTCTTCCGGCCCTGAGGGTGTCTGGAGTTTGCCTAACCCCTTCGGAGCTGTAAGCCACTTTCATCCGCTTTCATCCGCTAGGCTTCCGATGAACATCCATTTAACATCCCCGCTACATATTTCACACATTCGTTCTTTTCCGTTCTGTTTTCGCAAATTTTCGTCAATTTTGTCCATTTGTGGGGCGGATAAAAACAGATGGAGTCACCCCCGAAAGTTTGCTCGTCCGCTGTGTCCTTTTTGCATACGTTTTGTGTCAATCGGCCACTGGGACCGGGTCTTACCGTTTAGTGATGTAAACTGATAACACCCAACTAGTGTAGAACATTACACCAATTCTGATGGAAACTAGTTGCCACTTCCAGTAGTGTAACCTGTCTGATACACCACATTCGGATGAGTGTTGCACTCAGTGTAATGTTACACTTAAATAGTGTAGATTAAGCATTACCCCTCTAGAATATTTTGTAAATTACACTTCCATTTAATTATTACACCAACGCGAGTGTAATTTGCTTTGTTGGATATTTATTTGAAGCCAACAACTTAGCTAAGTTCAGAAAACTTGAAATTGGCTATAGGCCTCTATAATAATTAGTATAGGGCGTTTAGCCCGACCCAGATTAAATGTAGACATTAAATTCAAATATCCATCAGACTGATTCAAATTCAACTGCTGTTGGTCAATTAGACAATCTGTTTCAATTTACAATGAATATAATCACGAGGAAAAATAAATACCCATATCCATACAACGTAGCTGAATAATGTGGTTTATTCATTTATTAACCTCATATGAATTAAGAACAAGCCAACAGTGAGGCTGATGTCCCCCGCCGAAATAGGAAAATAATTAGAGGACACATATAAAAATCAAATTGCGTATCGCTCTGCTTACCCTGAGCAGAAAATGCTCATTATCAAACTTAGTCAAGGTATTACTGTAATGAAACTATACACCAAGTTTCATCAATCTCACTTAATTAGAACTAAAGTTATCGTGTCCCAAAGCATCAACCAATCAAATTGCTTATCTCTGCTTACCCTAAGCGGAAAATGCTCATCTTCGAACTCCATCAAGGCATTGACCTAATCAACACATACACCAAGTTTGAACATTCTAGCTCAATTAGGAAGAGAGTTATCGTGCCCCAAAGTATCAACCAATCAAATTGCTTATCTCTGCTTACCCTAAGCGGAAAATGCTCATCTTCGAACTCCATCAAGGCATTGACCTAATAAACACATACACCAAGTTTGAACATTCTAGCTCAATTAAAAGTTATCGTGTCCCAAAGCATCAACCAATCAAATTGCTTATCTCTGCTTACCCTAAGCGGAAAATGCTCATCTTCGAACTCCATCAAGGCATTAACCTAATCAACACATACACCAAGTTTGAACATTCTAGCCCAATTAGGAAGAGAGTTATCGTGTCCCAAAGCATCAACCAATCAAATTGCTTATCTCTGCTTACCCTAAGCGGAAAATGCTCATCTTCGAACTCCATCAAGGCATTGACCTAATAAACACATACACCAAGTTTGAACATTCTAGCTCAATTAGGAAGAGAGTTATTGTGTCCCAAAAAGTGTGACGGACAGACAGACGGACAGACAGACAGACAGACGGACGAACCCATTTTAATAGTCCCCTGCTTTCTTCGAAAGGCGGGGGACAAAAAATTAATTCAGATATAGTACTTAGTAATAATTTTGAACATTTACACGTCTTTAAGTGTATAGACTACACTAAAATAATCAATACTTGAGGCGTTATGAAATATCATTAGGATTATTATATGAGATTATTCTGGAAGACTTATATTCATTATGAGTAAACACTCTATAATGGGTTATTCTTGCGTTACTAATGCAGGTGTAAATGTAGTAAAACGCTTGTAGAGGTGTAGCTCATCCCAAACACCGTTTAGAGGATACAATTACACCTATCCTGGTGTTCAGTACTCATGAATATCGATTACACTTTTGCAACCCAATAAACGCTGTTCTAGGATTAATTCCCCAATAATAGTTGCACCCTTTGGGAGAGACAGAGATTTCAACGCCCACTCGATACAAACTAGGCCTTTTCAGGACCAACACATGGTTCAACTTTATTTCAATAATTTGCTTGCGCGTATGGGTCTTTAGCAGTGGGAGGAAACCGGAGGACCCGGAGAAAACCCACGAGGTTGGACCCTACTCCTTGTCACGTACAACCGGGGAATCGAAACCACGCCAGTTGACTCAATGACAGACCGTATGATAAAACGCGCACTTGCTAACCATTCGGCCATGCAGCATAACACTGGTAGTGATGTAGCTTATCCAAAACACCCCACAATTACACCTAGTCAGGTGTTCTCCGTAGTCATCAATATCGGTTACACTTGATGGGTGTAGTTCTTTTAGTTGGTTACCCTTGGAATGGTATTACATTCTAAAAACGCTAGCTTATAGTTTTTGATTACACCCATTTTTAACAGTGTATGGAATAAAATTTCTAGAATCCTGGCCCTAAAGTTACCCCAGGTTTCAGAGACGGGCTATAAAATTACAGACTGTTGATTATTATTTTAAAGAAGGTCCCTAGATATATAGCTAAAGTAGGTTGGGGTTGGGACACAGATTTCGAATTGTCTACGGGCCTGGTAATGATCACAATGCCATATTCTGAACAATTTATTAACAAATGTACTTACATCCGCCATTTTGAAATCTCTTAATACGTATTTAGAAACGATAAAACGGACTTTAGTGATGACAGTTACAGTTCTGCTTATATCCGATTGTTAGACACTGTTTGGGAAGACCGCACACTTTAGTTAATAAGTACGCACACACACACACACACACACACAGAGTACTAATGAAATTACTTATGTCGTTAATTTACACCGATAACTATGAAATTCCAATCGAATCACATACAGACATCGTGCAATGATGAATAACTGCCTTGTCTGTCATCTGAACACCTGTTACATGTAGGTTTACTGCCTTTTATATTAAATTAGTCAGGTATGTTACTATATTAAAGAAGACGTCCAGCTGTTGCTGATTTCAATGCTAACAACGATAACTCGATAAATTATTAAATAATACCTTTAACAGAGCTAAATCGCTAATATTTGGGACCTAGAAATAGACACAATGTATATAAACTGATTTATATTCAATCGTTTCCATTTTTACTCTAATTTCAAATCAGTTATGTTCGGCGAAATACGTCAGAGGTCTCAATCGAATGGTAATCTACGGTGGCCTTTTAGTGCCATACGTTGATTTATACCCTTTTCTTGTAATTTACCTCATAAATATTAGAAATCGCAGTGAAAACTATGATAAATAAAAAAAAAACAGGAAAAACATTTTCTCTGCGGTGTAAACTTTCTCTCCATGGTATAAAGTTTTCTTCGCGGTGTAAACCTTTTTTCCGCGGTGCACTCCTTTTCCCCGTGGTGGTAAATCACATGATTTCTCCGTGGAAAAAAGTTTCCACCACGGAGAAAATTTTACACCGCGGAGAAAACTTTACACCGCGGAGAAAATGTTTACACCACAGAGAAAAGGTTTACACCGCGGAGAAACTTTATAAGGCGGAGAAAAGGTTTACATCGCGGAGAAAAGGTTTACACCGCGGAGAAAAGGTTTACAAAGCGCAGAAAAGGTTGACACCGCGCAGAAAAGGATTACAACGCGGAGAATAGGTTTACACCGCAGAAAAAAAGATTTACACTGCGGGGAAAACTTTACACAGCTTAAGGATTAAAATTAATGAGATAATATTTGATAAAATTAAATGATGCGTTTAATAAAAAGATGATGAAATACATATCAATTCTCCTAAAATAACGATTATTACATATTACAAAACAATGAATATAATACTAGTAAACACGTCCTATAATAAATAATCTGAAAAGATAATGTTTATAGATTATCACTATTATAGCGAATCTCATTAAAATATTGAATGTTATCATACCAATCTATAGAAATATAAATAATACTGTTATTGAGTATTATATGACCGTTGTTTATCAGTAGCGGACAGTAGCGAGTCTAGAAGCTGTGAAAGAGGTGGGGGTCTCAAATCTAGGGCATCATTTACAACTCCCCAAAATGAATGTTAACAAAATACTGGCTAAAACACTGAGTACCCCGGTAGAACATAGATAATGTTGCCGATAATGTTCATGAAGCAACGACTGCGAGTTTTACATCTAGCTGTTGCTAGATTAGTTTAAATTTCCCAAACTTTTAGGTACGCTATCTCGTTTTATCACGGACGTAATAAAACACATAAAGGAATTGGTGGGTTTACGCCTTTGAGAGCTTTTTGTTTAGTTGCAAAACTCGGAGAAAAGCAAAGTAAAGCAACCTTACTTGGGTCAATTTCCTGGCATTCTAGGCCATTACTGGGAGCATATGTTTGTGATCAGTGAACAAGTGGATAATATAAGGTACAGAATCTCCAGATCTGTCTGTTTTGTGAGAGTTTGTACATTTGTGCAGTCTGTCGCCCCGCGACCCACGTACTAGTGATATTATAATATATACTAATCCCCTACAATTAAAGAGGAATATAGTTAAATCGTTAAGTGTAACACTTTATCATCATTTTACCTGTAAACGTGGACTTTTATACGGGAAGCGTTGTTTGTTTTCAAAAGGGTAAGAACAACCTGTCCCCTACATGATTATTATCACTGGCATATATGAGGCTTAAATTCTATAACCTGAAGGTACTATAAATTCAACGTAAATATATAAATTTAACACATAGATATATAAAAAGACATTTATTCCAATAATTATAAAATAATAAAAGAAATAAAATTAAACATTTTAAAGTCCAACATGAATTGATATAAATTTCTACTTTACCCTACTTTCACAGAATTCTTTTTCTCTCATTTTCTTAAACTGGTTTATTATCCAACATATTAAACATAATTATATATATAGAAATGGTGAAATTTAAAAAAAACAGTGAGCAAATTAGTCGGACATAAGACTTGTCTAACTTGTATATTTGTCCAGCAAATACACTACCGAACTGAGTCGGATGCTAATTCCATTATTTCATGTTGACCTTTGACTGCATTGGAAGCAATAACCAGAGACAAATTCTCTTTAGGGATTGGCAAGGGTCAATATGAACTACCTATACAGGAAATCAATCAGAACCAGGAATTTTATTTATAAAAAAAATCTTATTACTAAAAAAAACCTTGATAGATTATGTAATTGGTAAATCCAGATTTGTTATTCTGTATGAAAGAATCACACAAATATATTTTGGTTGTATTTTAATGACTTAGCCTGTTTGCAATGGAAGCAGACTAGTCTAACATGATGAACCATGGCTGGTTCCGCTTTTTATTGTTAGCAAAAACATCAGGGAAAATCTTTGGTTTCATTTTGAATCCATTAATTACTGATTCGTCTTAATTAATAATAATTAATGAATACAATCAGGTGTTGATATGTCTATAATTACAATTATTGCAAAAAAATAATTTTAATTAAAATGTTAAATAAAATGTTATATATATATATATATATATTAAGGTTAAGAAAACAAAAAAAATAAAAATAACATAAGTAGATAAACATACAAAACAGGGTGTAAATGTTAAACATGCCTTTCAATATAATAATTCTAGTATGGTGCAAAAAATGAAACATTTGAATTCACAGAAGTTATCTCCCCCTTTATTACCTAATTCTGTTCATACCCTGCAAAATTTGTAGTCCTAAAATTATGCATACTTGCCACTTCTAAGCCCAGAAAACAAAATAAATATATATGCGTGATATTAGTTATCAGGCACGGTGAATAAATTTTCAGGGGAGGTAACTTTGCTAATAAAATAATCTAAAGTGGGAATGTGAGTATATGTGTTTAGTAACTACTGATTAGCATTAAGTTACAGTTGCTTACAAGCAGTGAGTAATACATGTGTCATGGGTTCTTCACAGAACAGTGCTTGGAGGGATTTTAAAGGTGTTGAATAAGCAAGGATTTGGAGGAACAAGTCTATGTGCTAGTGTATCTTTGAAATATAGAGTGAACTAGCCAAATATCTCTCAAATGACTATCAAGGTGGCCTAACTAAGTTTCATAACAGAAGAAACAATATATAAATATGAAAGTTAAAAAAGTTCTTCATTGCTCAGTTACTAAGAGAAGTTAAAAGCTTTATTGCTCAGTTACTAGGAAAAGTTCTTCATTACTCAGTTACTAGGAAAAGTTAGGACTAGCTCAGTTACTAGGAAAAGTTAGGACTATACTCTAACGGATAATCTTCACAGCTACAAAAATCAATTTTTAAAAACCACAAACATGCCACACTTAATTTAAGATTGCTTCAGATTAGGGACCTTATTCACGAAAACTTTTATGAAAGCAGCCTTTCCATTGGTTAAGAGCTTATATTTGTGCTAGAATCTTAACCATCAACCAATGAAAAGGCTGTAACAATAAAAAAAATTATGAATAAAGGACCAGAACTACTATTTGAAAACACAAAATAAACCAATATTACTGACTGATTACAAACTTCACCATTTTATAAGATACAGTAGTACTTATTATGACACTAACACATTCTAGAATTTAACTAAAAATTGATTCAAGAAGCTTTCATCACTACAAGATGGACCATATTCTTTAATTTCATGGATTTACATGTATATCATATTAAATAATTTTTCATGTTCCCTTGTTTTTTTGTTTGCTATTAATACTATTTATGTTTACTGTAACTACTAATATCACTTTTAATACTTTTAATTTATTTTTACCCTTTAATATAGTATGTTTATTTATTACAAATTAATGAATACCTTAAATGCTTTCAATGTATTGTGCGCTCAAGAAGGTGGTTGTATATATTGCTTCTTACAACTCCACACAACTTTGATATTATCCAACTTCCACAAGTCAATACAACTGAATTCCCCCCACCCCCTTTTACAACTTGGGTCGTTTTTCAACTTCCACAACTCAATGAAATTGGATTTTTTTTCGATTCAACCTATTCACAACTTAATGCCGTAACTATTAAAGGTCATTCCATGTAGGCAATCAGACGCTGAAACAATAATGATTTAAATATTGTATTAACTCTCACCATTTTGATTCAGTTAAGTGACCACATGCCAATATTATAATACCATCCAGTTTAGTTATTTGTTGAGTTGTAAGTCATCATACAAACATACACCCACCTTAACACTCTTACCCCTATTTGGGCTAGACATTACATCTAACCATGTAAAAACAAGAATAAAACAATTTGATATGTGAAAGTAACCCTACTACATATCATACCACAAATCTCCATTATGTCTTGTGTATAACTTTACCTGAATCTAATAAATAATAATGCTAGTAATAATTAGTAATAAAATATTATCAATACTCTTAGAAACCTGAATAGCTCCACTCCTCTAAGAACTTAATAAGACAAAAATTTGCTTTCATAGCTTAAAGGCTCAATACCACTCTTGTAACTGAATAATATGTCCCAATCTTTATTCTGGTCAACAAATTGTACTATTTTACAATATTCCAATTAATTGATTATACAAATTTCATCTTAACACACCTAATTTAAAAAAATTGGAAAAATTCAACTAAATGATTTGAAAAGCCTGACGTAAAGCTTTTCAAATGTGACTTGGATTTAAAAATATTTTTGAACCCTTTGGACCAGTAAAATAGGATTTAATGGATAATTTACACAACAGGTAGGACACTAACACATCTAGTACTTAGAATAAGGCTATTTTTTTATTTTCTGGAGCTGTCAAGCCAGCAAGAGTGTTATTGTCCCTTTAAGCATGTTTTTGCCGTGGTGGAACTCATATCCCATCTCATTGGCTAGAATCTATTGAACCCTGTCAAACAATGTTGCCAAGAACGTTCAACATGTGCGGAACTTGTCCTCACTTCTTATTTTGGAAACAGTAAACAAAGACACACAGGATTTGACATTAATTTGTGGAAAAGAAATTTAGTTTCTCCCAACACAATAATTTGGTCATGGGACATTCTGGTTGAAAGTTAAATTCTTAACCGCTCAACAACTATTGCAAAACAAGATGGATTTCCAACAATAATCATATATATCACTAATATAATCACATATAAACAAAGTATTGAACAATTAAAACAGAAAAAAATAACATTTTGATTGTTATAATACTTTTGCTTGGTATCCTGTTTCTTTCTATTTCATGTTAAAAAAGCTACCATAACCTTAAAACTGTGAGAAAAAAAATGACAGACCTAAATAATTTATGATAAGTACTCAATAGGCCTTATAAAGATAAGTAAAAGAATAAATAAATAAATAACACATACAACCTCAAATCAAAGGTTTATATTAAAAAAAGGCAAACAAAAAAAACCCAGTTGGATTGATGAATTTCAAACAAAGAATTATCTAAAGACAATGAAAAGAGGACAAGAAAGCGAAATTCTCAACCATTTTAAAATATATACTATATAAAAGTTGGGAACCAAATAAGAAACCGATGCAGATTGACCCGAGCCTCATATGCAAAAGAACCGAACCAAATCGAGTAACGAGTTGAATATGTTAATCTATACATGTAGTACATGCAATTTTATCACATATCAATAAGATTCCAAACTACAAGTAACTAAAAGCAAAGCTTTTCACTGGTGGCTAAAAACTAATAATCATGGTCCCTGGTACAAGTACACTTTCAATATAATAAAATAAAAATATATAGGATTTTAAAACCACAATAAAAAATATAATAAAACTAGTATAATTATCTAATTGATTAGAAATATAGTGAAATATTTCTATTCACATAGTTCACAGTTCTATATTCATACAATCTTATTAAAATACAGTTTTGTATAAATATATTTAAGATGAACTGATATCTTGTATGATATATTATTTGAGTATAAATATAGTGCTATATATATATATATATCATATAACAATATGTCGATGGGGAGTCAAAAGGTCGTATCTGACCTATTTGACGAAATTCACGTTTTTGCTTCTTCAGAATGCGCATGTTTTCACCCAGTAGTTATATTTATAAGCCAATTAAAATTTTTTGTATAATATTGTTTCAAAATATTGTCTGTGAGATGTTACTAAAAACAATAATAATAATAAAAAAAAATATTCGGGAGCGAAATTATTGTATGTCATTGAAAAAAAATCAACTTTGTGACTAAAGCATTCTTAGCATTCTACAGAAATATTTGAGGGAATCTTTAATAATAGTACAACATGTTGATGTGACGTTTTTGTACGATATTATGACAGTTTCACAAAACTCAAATACAACCTTTTGACTCCCCACTAATGAATATATACTGCACATCTCAACCAGTTCCATCAAATATTGGATTATAAAGTAGTATATCATGTATCTTTGTAAAGATGTCATGCCTGAAGTACCTTTCAAAGACATTGTCAATAACAGTTTGTCAAGTACAACTAAGATAATTATTCCCATGTTCAAGAGGTCAGGAATACAACAAAAGCAGAACGTTTTTAGGGATCTAAGATTATTTTACATATTTATTAAGAATGCGTGGAAATGGTTGAGGTTGCATCTGGTTAACAATAAATATTGTATAAAATAATATATAATGTGGAGAGGAAGTTTGTGGTATTTTATGCTTCTTATTCACTATTTATCACATTAATAATATATGTTAGTGTTGAGTTAGATAAAGTAATTATACATATAACGTTCCCTAAAATATAATTATGTACATCATTACAGCAATTCTTACAAATTTTTTGGATCTATGATTTATGTGAAGAGGAAGAGAAATGGGGTTTAATGTCAAGGCTACACAAACTAGTCATTTCTGGACTAACATTTGGTATAATTTTATTTCAATAACTTGTATGCGTGTAAGGGTCTTTAGCAGTGGGACAAAAATTGTAAGAAAACACAATAAGTTGGGCAGGTGACTATATATATACTCCTTGTCACATACAAACCTCCAGACTTTACTCAATGACAGCCCTTATGACCTAAAGTTCACACTATTGGACTAACCCAACTCCCTTTATTTTGAGAGAAAAATAAGTCAATTTGATTCAATCTTATGTGCAAGCATATAAATTTTGACATTAAACCCCATTTTATTTCACAAATTAAAGAGATCGTTTCTTTTGAGATGAAATCTTATATAAAAGCCACAATATTCCCTACTAAAAGGCAATGTACTGGTACCAAAAAATAATCTGGTCCAAAAAGTACTAAAATCGATGAATCTTAGCATAATGATGACTATATAAAAGTTTATATCACTTTCTATTGATGTAAGATTTCCATCTTTATTGTCCTAGAGTCAACGACTTTACATTTCAGTTAGTAAGATGATCTTACATAAGTTTTTCAACTCTTATTTTTGTAATGTTTAAATAAGGAAGATGACTATTAGCCATCTGGCACATTCCTAAGTCACTTTGTTCACAGCCATTGTAGAAACATAATTTTGATTTTTTAGAGCTACAACCAATTATGACAAGAAGTTTGCTTTAAGATACGAAAAAGCACATCAAATAGCACTAGATACAACATTCATGAGGAAAAAAAAAAATCTCTTTCCTTTTGGACTTGGAGTGAAATTTCAGTTGGTTTCTGCCTCTGCACAATGTCAATATTGATTTTGACATTAAGCCGCTAAAATTTCACTTCAACATATGAATCTTGAATTTCTGTCTTTGAAAAATACCTTTGTCTTTGGTTGTTGAATATATTTGGCCTGCTATAATAAGCACATCTTAGTGCAATTTCAGAGCTTAATGCAAAAATATATTATTGCTTGAATTACATCTTGGTCAGAATATAGGAATGAATTTTCTCTTTTGCGTTTGTGGAAGGAATGGATGATACAACCAAAATCTGCTTGTTGTTTTGATTTGGTTGTTTAGTCCCAGTGTCCAGAAAATCTACCTGGTTTGAGAACGGATCTGAAATCTACTTGTTGTACATTTTGTTCGATTGGTTTACGTAACGTCCCTTCATCTTCATTATAATCAAACTTAGTTTTACGCAATTTAGAACGTAAATTTACTAAAACTTGATCTCCAACCTCATTCAGTCCATTAACAGGAACAACTCCATTAGATGGTGGAGACGTACTGAAAGTAGAACAAAATGTACATTTCAATGTCCAAACTTTTATGCCATTTATGTAGCCTTTATTGGAGCCAAAGTGGTTCAGTGAGTAGTACATTGGCCAGCTAACCTGCATGACGTATGCCCGTCTTTATTAGCCCAGTAGGAGCAAAACAGTAGGATGTTAAACCCCATTTCATTTCATTTCATTTGTAGCCATTAAGATGTAACAGGGCCCTCAAAGCAGTATTTGTATCTGGTTTACACTATTCACAGATCTTAAACTTGGTTTTATATAAATGTTTGATCTTGATGTAGGCCGAGAAAACTGCATGGCATCAGCCCACGTTCATTAGCCCGAGTGAAGCAGAAAAGTGGGATGTTAAACCCCATTTCATTTTATTACAATAAATTGATTGGGTAAGTTGAGGTGATAGTTGCAGTCCATTATAACTTACCTCGTTGATTTCATATGGCCAGTATTTTTGTCACAATTAGATACAGGTTGTTTATTTTTTATATCTACTTTCATTTTATTTTTCTCTTCTTTTGCTTTCTTATTGCCATTTCGTTCTATTATTTCTATATTACTTATACTGTTTATATCTGGTGGTGGGGGAGGGAGACCATGGGCGAGATTATAGCCTCGTGGAGACAAGATTGAGGAAGGGAGTGGTGGTGGAGGGGGAGGAGGGGACTTTAATGCGTCATCATCTTCAAAAGCCTCGTCATCATCATCATCATCATCATATTCAGCTTCTGGGGGGATGTAACCACTTGGTGGAAGGTGTGTCTGCCACAGCGCAACAATCGAGCCAGCCACGTCTTGTTCTAGACGGCGTGCTAGTTCATGTTTATCACCTTCCTCATAGAATCCCCTTTTATCTGTTTGGTAATCATCTTCTACTATATTAACAGAACCACGAGAAACAGATGTGGAAGAAACTGTGCTCTCATTGGATGTACCAGGAAGATTTAGGTGTGAACTTGCTTCTGAGTTAAATGTTTGGTCAGACATGGAATCTCTAGAAAATAAAAAAGTTTTGTGATTTAGTGTCACTATTATCAAAACCAAACACTTTTACTTCAACCATTTAGGAAACACTGAATAAATTTCATGGTTTTTAATTGTGGATCATTTTGAGACTAGTACTCAGATCCTTCTCAAACGCTAATGTAAATAGAAATTGCTGAAAATCAAAGGTTTCTTGAAGATAAACATTGTGTATAAATTCCAAGTCAATATAATTTATAACCAGAAAATTTTGTGATCAAAGGCAATAATTCTAAACCTAATCATAGGAATGTGTTAAAAATCAATCAATTTTCATCTAATGTAATGTTTTGTTATATTTTCCAATAATAACTTTCAGAGAGTAAATTATTGGAAAACTATAACAAAACATTAACAGGCCTCTTCGCCTCATCAATATAAACATGATAACTTTAGGAGCATTTTTCAGTACATTCATGTTACTTTATATGGAGGGGATTTAAGGTCAGACAAGGTATTCTGTGTAAACTTAAACTGATGCTTAGTTAAAACACTATAAACATTACAATGTACACATAATTTGATGTGCAGCCTTTACCGTTATATTTCCAAAAATTCCTAACCAGTGTGTGAAATAGCTTTATTTAATGTCTGCTTCCACCGAGAAGACAAGCCTCCTAACCAGTAAATAATACCATTTTATTAGGGTAAATATAAATAAATCAACCACTGATTTTTCTTGGGAGTGAAATTAATTTGGTGCAAGTAGTTTTACTTTGAAGAAATGAAATCTCAATAGACATGCAGAATTCATTCAATCCATATGTTCCATCCAAAACACTGAATTATATCTTAAAACGTGTTCTTTACGATTCTCATCGTCAGTCTTCAATAATGACAATCATTGTTTTAATTTTGTCTTCAAGAATAGCAATTAATTTCCAAAATTTTGTAACCAATCAATACCAAATTTATTAATATCAAATGCTGGTAGGAGAGTATAGACTAATATTTCATCCCAATGTTTTTTCTTCTGATTTTTCAGGGCAATTCTATACTACTATAGCCAAACAAGCCATATCATAATATTTAAGCTCAGATGAAGTTAGTATCTACAAGCATATCTATTATATTACATATATATAAATGACAAATTTTTTGACTCGCCAAATAATCCTAGCAAGTTTGAGAAAAATCTAAATACATCAGATCTGAACGGACTGACAGCCATGGGTGACATTGTGGACGTAAAATTACGTGATCAACACCAAAAACCATGCATAACATGTTAAATTAACATTCTGTAATTAAGAACTGAATATACTACATGTATCTCATTGACGTTTTTTAAACCAAGTTTTTGACATTCAAGTTCACATATTTAATGTTAAGTTGCCTCATTGAAAAATAATCACATGAATTTTTATGACAATGGTATCACAGATGGTTTTTAGAGATTTTAACAGAAATTTTACATGTGTATTGTTTCTTAGCTTAGTCAAAGAAACTATTGGTATGTACCAAGTTTCACCTTTCTCACGCAATTAGAATCAAAGTTATTGAGCTCGAAATGCTCCACCAATCAAATTGCTTATCTCTGCTAAGCGGTAATGGAATATGCTAATCATTAAACAGTGTCAAGGCTTCTAGCTACTCTACCTCAAGTTTGAACATTCTACCTCAATTAGAAGGAGAGTTACTGTGTTCCAAAGTCTAGACCAATCAAATTAAAGTCTCTACTTGGTGTAAACAGCAACTGCTATGTCTCATTCAATTAGAATCCAAGTTATTAATCTCCAAAATCTCGACCAATTGCTCTGCTTATCCTAAGCAAAACATGTTCATTATTGAACTTAGTCAAGGTAAATGATTTAATGAAACTATCCACGAAATTTCATCATTTAAAAAGTTTTTGTGTCCCAGAGCATCTATCAATGGAATTGTGTACATCGAACTCAGTCGAGGCATTCACCTAATGAACACTTACACTAAGTTTGAACATTCTAGCTCAATTAGAAGCAAAGTTATTTTTTCTCGAAACAAGTGATGGACGGACAGACGGACAGACAGATAGCCCAGGAGACCCATTTTAATAGTACCCTGCTTTCTTCAAAAGGTGTGGGACAAAGTGTAATCCTTGTATGGGGATGAGAAAACAACTGGTTCATACACAAATCACATAAGGTATTGGAAACAATTTTAAATGTTCATCACAATAGAACCACTGATAAAACAAAGAAAACCAGTAATTTTGCAGCATGCATGCTAAAACTCAAATTATATTTTTTCAAATTTTTACCTCAATTTATATCTTTATAAAACTGTAATAATATAAAACATAGCAATAACATCAGACTCACAATACAATAACAACACAGCTAAACATAAAACATCTAATACAAACAGGGTGATTTTGGTCTTAGAAAAAAAACCCATTTTGTTTCCAATCATGGTTCCTATATATGTCTAACATCAAAATATATACAGACATTCTTCTAATGTACGTTAATGTCTACTAATGTACTTTAAATAAAGCTACTAATGTACATTAAAGTCTACTAATGTACTTTAAATAAAGCAACTAATGTACTTTAAAGTAAGAAATTGATGGGTTAAATATGATTTATACCCAGTTTTTTACGCCACAGGGATGTGAAACATACTCAAAATGGAAAATGTTATTGAAACATGGCTGATCGTGATAATCAATGCTTATCCAAAAGATATATAATGAATAAGTGGTTTAACACTTGGTATAAAATATGATATTTATTGTCATAGAAAAGACCTCTGATTTTCTGCTCTAACACTTGGATTGATTCCTATCAACTATGATCAGGACAGTTTGTTTATTGTTTATAGCAATAATCTATTGTAATAATGTAATGATTCACCTTCTTGTATTAATTACACTTAGCTCACATCAATTTCTTTTTTATATAATATATATATATACCACAACACATATTAGTCATAGTCATCTTTGTCAAATTTAATTGTTTTTACAGAAAACATCTGTTCACAAAAGGGGGAGAAATGGGGTTTAACATCAACTTTACACAAACTGTCATTTCGGGACTAACATATGGTTCAATTTAATTTGCGCGGGAGGAAACCGGAGAACCCTGGAGAAAACCAATGAGGTTGGACAGGCGACTCTACTCCTTGTCACGTACAAGCAGGGAATCAAACCAAGCCACTTGACTCTATGGCACACTTTATGATGCAACACGCATATGTTAAACATTCGGCCATTCACCCCCTACTCACAAAGAAAATTTAATAGATGATAACTATTATGCATCAATTTTTTAATCTGGACAATAGCATCCGTGTTTAGGGTTATTTTCCTTTTTTTGAGTGTACTCAAAATCTTAAAACTTTGAGAAGTATTAAATATTTATACAAACATCTCTCAAGTTCTTTGATATTTGTATTAGCATGACTGCAATATTTTCTTTTCATAATGTAAAAAAAACAAACTTGACAAAGATGGCTGGATACTTAAAATTTCATACCTTCATAAAGACATTAATTGACTCAGATGCATAGATAATATGGACATATAGATATATCTACAAGTACATATATCCATAATAAGTAATATGTACTTACATTGGTCTCGATACAGATAAAGCTGACTGTCTAGCATTTTGCAACGGTGCATCCCAAGGCAGATTAGAATAACTTTCACTTTTTGGTAAAGTTAGTGGAGTTAACAAACTCTCTGGACGTGGTTTACTATAACATAAATTATATTTAAAATTAATCTACATCTTACCCAGATTATCTACATTAGAAACAGATTCTACATATAATCTAGATTCTAAATCCATACATTGTTATGTTGAACCATTTGAAATACTAACTTGAATCAATATATATTATAAACAAAGCATTGTCAAGCAACAAATATACACCAACCAGCAGCATTGCAGATTACAAGCTTTTATGATCAGTAATAGATAACTATGCATAAAATGGATGGATAAGCTGAAATTTGGAGAGGGGTCCTGTAAGAGTTCTTATTACTTTTTTGTTCAATCGCTAAATGCCACTCAAGGATTATACACATAAAGATGGTGGCGTGAAATCAATAGAGAACAACGTAAATGTTAAATGGCAATAACTTCAGTTTAACAGAATTGCATGTACTTCTATGGCGACCATGCATAGCAACATGCGTGCATGATTCCAAAATCTGGTATGTGTAAATTATACTATTTATACATGACATATAATAACATGTTAATGATTACAATATAGGTACATGATGTATAATAATGCATCGAATATTATGATATGTGCAACTGATGTATGATAAATTGTGGATGTGTGACAAATGATGTAAGGTAACAGGCGATGTGTGAAAAATGAAAGGACCATAGATGATAACAAAACATGATCAGTGCCCTATGGATTATGATTACAATATGTCTAGATGATACATAATAACGAAGTGTGTGGCGAGGATTATGTATGATATGTTGACAATCCATGATAACACGCAATCCATGATAACACACGATACATGATAACATGATCAAATATTTATTCATAACACATTACAAGGTGTCCATAATCCATGACTACAATGTGTTCACAATTACAACATGTACAAAAGATACATATTACAAATACGTAAATTAGTATACATGATTACATTATGCATGTACCTCACCTTTGTGAATAATGCATTATCATAGATAATCCTTAAAGGAGCTAAATCGCTAATATTTTGGACCTAGAAATTGGCACAAATAGGTCGCAAGACATATAATAATGTAATATGAATTTATATGAACTGTTTTACATTCAATCGTGTCCGTTTTACTGTGAATTGTCATCAGTTATGTTCGGCGAAATACGCCAGAAGTCTCAACCACATGTCCGTTTCTAGTGTCTGGTTATTCCAGTCAACACCGATATTATTATTATTGCGCATGCTCTCCAAATAAGAATATGATATCACCGTTTGACATGACTTGTGGAATATGTCTAGCCTCATTCTTTGAGCACCTTGTTACAAATGACGGTGAAACGCATTATGGTACACGATTCGTGTACCAATGGTAAAATGTTTAGTTTGTCTTAAATATTGGATATCAGAAGCCCATCTTTTCCAGGTAAGATCACAACACCAATGCTGATTTAAATTGCAAAAAAATTTGTGTTTTCAATGTCGAAGATTTTGGATGATATTGAGTTACGGACTTAGCTACTTTAAGATATAGATAAATAGCAGTAATGACTATATGAACCTGCTGTGAGAGTGCTGTGACTATTACATGCCTACATGCTCAAAGTAGATTAAAACTAACTTAGCCATGAATGTTTTAGCAGCTGTTTTAGCCAATAATGTTCTAGATAAAGTTGATGATTCGGCTGTTGACAGGTTCCTAAAATAATTTTTAGGTGATAATCAAAAAGAAATCAAGGCTATGACTTGATGAAGTTTGCATAAATGCATTGATGGTACATTATTGATTAAATTTTTTTTAAAAATAACAAAGTATTCATATATGCATATAGGCCAAATATAAATACCATCAACAATTCAGGATAAGTTTCTCTGTTAATTTATTGTAATGAAAGGCAAATATAAAAATATAAATAAAATAGTGAATGTGTTCTAATTATAAATAAAATAGGATAAGTTCTAATTATTTTGATACTCAATCATTGCATGCCTTTGAAAGTTAGAAGAACAGCAAATCTGATGCTTATATAAATCTGATTATTGAAGATAAGTAATAAAAGTGTTAAATATCTATTGTTAAAAAAATAAGCTATTGTTTTAATTCTGTAGACAAAGATAAAACAAATACTGATTGAATCATATACTTACTGGTCTGAATTATGATCTTTTGATTCCCGGGCTGATTTTAAAGACCTACAAGAAGCATAGATAAAACATAAGATTTAGTGATTGAGCACATTAAATACACAACACAATTTATATGGAAAACAATCACTGGTTTATACACATACATTGTATAGCACAACATTTCGACAAGTATCCCCTTATGTGTATAAACCAGTGATTGTTTTCCATATTAATTGTGTTGTGTTTTTATATCAATGTAATTGAACTTTCCTGCAAACTCACAAAAATCTAAATATTGAAACATCTTTATAATGAATTGAATTTATAAAATCTGTGTTGATGCTTTTTTTTTTTTAAAATTTGCATTATGTACTTTCCATATGTATAACATGCAGGCTAGATTTTCTGTATCAAAAAAGACTCCCTACAGATGTTAGGTATTTAACATTTAGTTTTCAATCTGATTTGTTACAGAAATATTCAATATCTGACATAAATTAGTTAAAACTAGAGCGACATTGTCTACTTTGTGATACAAATTTTGAAAACAAGAAAACTGTTAAAACAATTTTAATTCTCAACACGATTATAATCTTTATTTATTGTCATGTTAAACCTTTTTATATGTGAATATTTCTGGTTCCTTGAAACAATTAGAGAAAGTGATATATTACATACTAGTTACCCTGAACAGTCTGGAACTACAGCTCTCTAGATTTCCTTAAACCGCCATTCATGTAAAAAGTTCTCCTTATTGTAGAACCCTACACTAGTTCTTGGAGGTGTCACACTAAGGAGCACAAGTTTTGGCCAGTTTCAGATGGTGCAACTGCACAAGGGTTTTCACACGTCACTCCAGAATACACATTAGCATGCCACCAAGGGGATTCTAACTAAATCTTCATAATTTAGTCTAAATTTTGATTACAATGAGACATACCTTGCTCTGTTGGCCATTTCAATAACTTGTTGATAATAGCTCTCATGATCATCTGACATTAATTTAGTTACATTACTTTTAACTAATTTCTTACATAATGATAATAAATTCCTTTTATAGCAGCATGAAAATAAAACATATACTAACTACAACATCTAATTACAACAACTAAAACACAAAGGTCCAAACTTATTTAAACTAAAGCTGGGTAGACACTGTGGAATGGAATGGGTTTAGCATCTTATTAACAGTTTACTTTGAGACTAACATATGGTAATTTTTATTTCTATGATTTTTGAACAAACAACCTGAGACATTCTCCCCATTTTTAAGACCAGATTTTAAATTCTTAAGCCAGAACTTTAAACTGCTGACAAAGTTAGATTGTTCACACTATACACAAGTTATCCGTCCATGAAATAAAGTTGACTACTAGAAGCTCGCATAGGTCTGTGGTCAAAGTATGTTCTAAACCACCGACACTGGCTGATGTCATTCCCATAAACTAAATGTTGACAATTTTTAATGTAGACACTTACAACCAATTACAGTAATCTTATAAAGAAATGTAAAGTGTGAACCCAACTTCAAATTACAAGAAGGGTAGATAAAATAGTTAAGATTGAAATAAGTTTAAACAGAATTAGAAGTATGTCTGATTCTTTAAACAGTATTCAATGCAGGGGTTTTCCTACAAAATTTGGCAGGCAACAGTCTTTAGCAGGGGAAGGAAACTAGAAAATCCATTAGGTTAGGCAGGAAATCATATTCCTTGTCGTAACCACAACACTTGGTTCAATGACAGAGATCACTAGCAATGGACAGACACATTTTACAGTAAATACATATTCAATGCCAACTAGACGTGTGAACTAGGCACTAACAAATAAACAAAATACTTGAGAGTTCTACATCTCTCCCAATTAGTCAAAAGGGTAGTAAAAGACAGAAAACTTACAGAGAAATTGTACAAACCTTTCAGTGTTTTCATTAACAATACTATCATAATATATTCTATTTTCTTCTTTCATTATTTCTTTACAATCTTTACTGAAATATAAATATATTATATAGAATAATAAGGATAAATTTTCAGGCCACAAAATTCCAAGCATAAATGCTGAGATAATTCTGAACATTATGATCAGGATATTCTTCCATATGCATCAATGAACAATTACCCCAAGTTTTGGAAATTCCACTTAGAATGACTGGCATTCATAAGCTAAAAATTTAAAATTTGATAGGGTAATTTTTATACTCTAATTAATAACTCCAATGAGAACTCTGCCATGTATCTTTAAACATGCTTTAAAATAATTTTAAACATAAACAAGGTGGGGGGGGGGGTTTACACTACATTTTGTGTGTTAGGGGTCATCCTTATGTTACAATGAACTTTGAAGACTAGTGGAATATTTCAAGAACCTGTGGATAGGCACACAGACTGTTAGTTCGATAAGAGTTGTCTCCCTTCAAGCTATATTCATACTATGCCTAGCAATATCTTTGTTGTATTACAAAAAGTTGTGACTAATAACTTTGGGCACAATTTCAACTAAACTATGGGTATGATAAGAAATCTTACTTATATTGTTTAAGGGGCAGACTCTCTGAAGCTGGTAAAGTATAACCATCAGTTAAATCAGAACTGGTGGAGGGTTGAACAGTATATGACTGATCAGGAGAATCTATTGAATCAGGGGAACTTGTGATATTCTGTTGGTCTGTCAGAGTTTTATCTTCATGGTAATAACCAGACACCTGCAACATATCAAATAATACAATTAGATGTAATGAGCTTACCATACAAAACTAGGACATATAATATGTAAGTAAGGCACCATAAAATACAATCATATTGAAACAAGCAAGGCATGCAATGGAAAATCTTCATTTATAAATTATATTAGTTTTGTTTCACATTTATCAATAATCTAGCTTCGGGGTTGAGGTCACAAAAATAAACAGTCCTTAATTAACATCTGACTCTTTCACTAGCCTCTTTAAGAGCCAATCTTGATAGGATTCAGGCAGTGCGTGATATATCACCCCTTCAGATTTGACAAATATATGTATTGGTTGTAGCATATCATGTTTCAACCCTCAAGGCCCCAATATTTTAATATATGATAGGTCAGAACCAATATCCAAGTTTTTCACAGATTTTTTTTTTTTTTTTTTGAATCAAGGGAACAATGACTGTCCATAAATGTGATATTAATAGATGGTACTGTCTATTAATAGACACAACTGCTAACATGAAAGTTGTTGCAAAAAAGATCTGGGCTACATAATGTAGAAAGATCATTAATTAAGCTTTTACTTCCATGTTTTAAGGTCTGTCTGTGTGAATTCTCAGAAATTATGAACATTTTATTAGTTTTAAATTACAGAAAATTGGCATCTTACAAAGCTTTATCCCTAGATAATTCCCCAGTCGTCATCTTACAAAATAGCCATAAAACCAGTTAAGGAAATGATCAGACGCTTCGGACGGAAACTATGTGCGGTTTTCTGGGGGCAACAGTATTGTATGTATCGGTACTACATACTTTATTATAATACTCCAGTTCTTTTTCTGGTAGCACATGTTTTTCTTCTGACATTCTTTTCATTTGTTCGAGTCTTGCCTCTCCTACATGTTCTTTAGTTACAATATCAAAGATATTTTTATGTGTCGGTGATGGTGTAGTAGGAGTACCAATCATCTTTAATTTACTGTTATTTTGCTTCTGTAGGTTTAACGTATCTTTACTTAGCTGTTCAACCTGTACCAAGAAAAAAAAAGTGACATAAAACTTTCTGTGATAAATTTCAACTTTTGTTATAAATGTTGGACATAGCCAAAATATCAATATCTATTGGAATTTGGATGCCCCGATGTCCGCATAAGAACATGAGTTTGCTCTTTATGAAAGTTAATCTTATACTTGGTGAGTAAACAGATGCAAATAACTATATATCAACTTGCTTATTCTAAAATAAAGGGATTTTCTGTTTTAAAAATGCCATAACAATCACTTTCTTCTTTATGTAGCAATACCACAATGGGAGTTAAGACACATTTGATCAATATTCTCAAAAAATCAAATTTCAATATGGCCAATTTTAAATGTAATAACAGAATATACATCCTTCAAATTCCACTGAAAATCTTAAAAAATTAATTTGTCATAAATACATTATTTAAAAAATTTATCACTGCAAGTACTGCCAATTTCTTTAATAATACCAGTGTAAAAAAAAGGTCTTTATACCTGTTGTCCGAAGTTAATGAGTTGACTCTCTCTCTGTATTTTATGATCTAACAACTGTTGATAAACTGTTTTACAGCGCCACATTCTAAAATAGGTTTGTATCATCTTAGCTGCTCTTTCCTCACAATTACGCTTTTCGTTACGTAATAGACGAGCGGTTGTACGAGCTTTGTGTATTCTGAAAGCTGTAAGAGATATATAGTTTTATAATATAACCCACTAAAGCATAAAAAAGTATGGATACAAGAATTCTGATAGGAATTTCGAACAGCAAGTGTGACATACATAAAACTATTTTACCCGAGAACCACAAAGTTGATTGGTGTACAAATTCAGAGGAGAGAATCACTACATAGTTAATGCAACATGAAAGAAAATACCAATTTTATATAGAATTACTGAAATTTCTCTCTCTTTCTCTCACTATTAGCTGGGATTCCCCTGTTTTTCACTATAGTGCTTACACAAATATTCAAATTTGAATAGTTTTTTTTAAGACTATTCAAACAGAATTGCTGATATTCTTTATTTCATGTCATGTGATTAAACTCATGACTTGAATAGATCACATAGGCCTTTATATCGACAGTGAGTGGGTGAGACCCAACACTTTAACACTTACACAATTAGTAACAGACTATCAGGAAATAGGAAACTAATTTTTTCTAACCTCTTTGTATTTTTTTGGCACTTTCATCTTCTTTTGATATTTGTTGTTTAGCTTTACGTCTCACCATGTGACCTCTGAATACAGATTGGATAGCTGTTGATGCCTGTCGTCGCTTTTCTATTTGAGGTTTAATTTCTTTCCTTGCTAAATATCCACGAATAGCTAAAATAGAAGCAATTATTACCTTACTATTTGAGAATGATTAACAATAGTAACTGTACAAGATCTCTACATTACTCTATGGAATAACTGTGTCATCGACAATGATCAACCAAAATAAAAGAATATCCAGGGTTTGGGTTTCAGACATTTTTACTACTAAAGGGGAAGACCAACGATTTTCAACACGGTTTCCATAAATCTTAAGTATGAGTGAATGTACGCGTCGGATTTGTGTATTAAACATTAAAAAAATCATAATTCAATATTTTTAATATCCAAATAAATAGTCCCTTTGGTCGGATTCTCATCCAAACAACGCCGGCGTGAACAAAATACAGCAGTAAACTTATGCCAAATCTGTATGCTTACTATAGAGTCCAGTGAGCGTGTTGAACCAACTACGTCACTTCCGGTTTTAATAGAAATTAATTATTCGCTTACAAAAACTTTTTTGCTTGTGTTACAGAGAGGATCATTTATCAATATATATTTACGATTCATAGAAACCTTGTTAAAAATCGTTGGTTCCTCCCCTTTAATATTTAGGCAACACCTGAATTCAAAGTATGAAAAATGAAATAAAATGGTGGTTTAACATCCAAATTTATTGTTCCAATTAGGCTATTGAGGACAGGTCCAACAGGACCTTGTATTTCTGGCCCATCCAAATGACTAGACACTGTCCCTTGCCAAATCCTCTGTCCAGCACCACTGACATCAAACTTTTCATTAATGAACATGGTCGAAAATTCCACATAAACCATAGGATAAAAAACGGAACATCCCAGATGGCGATTCAGGACCTAACCCACTGAGTAACTGCACCTCCTCTTAGAGTATGTCTATCGCAACAGTTTTATACCACATAATCCTTTTTATTGATGATCATGGTCGAAAATTCCACATAATATACTAGGTGTTACTAATATAAGTTAACAACAACAAAGTCTACTATATGACTTTGAGTTTATAGTTCTAAAGTATGTCATATACTTATAGTTTTACATGTATCTCTTTAACGTTTTACCAATGATTGGCTACAAACTGACTGGTTGATTAGTATATTAATAAAGTTACAAATTTCAAACTTTACTTTTCTGAACACTAATAGCAGCCATCTTCCTTCTGTTTGATTCAGCACAAAATATTTTTCTAGCTTGGAAACCACGGAAACCTAAAAAATCAAACAAGTCACATGCAGAAATAAAGTTACAGATTTTGTTTCTTATAAAACCATTTACTTGATTTCAAAAGATCTCTGATTACTGTCTGTCATTGTAAAGTTGATATCATTCACTTAAAAACAAATGACTTTTACAAATGGAAATATCTACCATAAACAGATGTGTGTGAAATAGCTTTCTTTAACGTCCGCTTCCACCCATCTAAGCCATTATTTTATATGTGTAATGTTTACTAATCAGTTAAGATGATTAGCAATCAGTCGGTAGTCATTAAGTAGGTGTGATGACACTAAGGTGTTAAGACTGTGACTAATAGAAATGATTTTACCCACTATTAATTGGATTTGTATATTCCAAATATTAGTGTTAGTTATGCTTTAACAATGGTAGTCGCAACTTTTACAGCTAGTTACACACCTGTTAATTAATGACTACCGGTACAGTATAACAGTGAAAATACATTAAAACAGTATCAGTTTCATAGGGTGTGTAATTTACTGCTTTACTGAGGTTATGGTTGGTGTCTTGGGGAGATTGGGCAAGTCAGTTAACAAGCTCTGTATGAGTGTGTGGTAATGTTCTCCATAAATCTCAAGAAGTAAACTTGCACCAAAGATAGAAATATATGAAATATTACTCACGTGTCTGAATTTCTAGAGCTGCCTTTTCTCGCTTCCATCTTAGTTTGTAGAATCTAGATCTAGCTATGAACATACGAATACAGGCTTGTACCATTACTATCTTCTTATTCTGATTTTCAAACAGACGGGCCAACTGTTCCGCATGATAATATTTCAAAAATACCTATAAAAAAAGGTGTACAAGTTATTCATTTTGTGGGAGAGTTTTGAAATAGGCCTAGGCATTTACTAGAAATGTTACCAAAACAGAAATAATCTCTACTTGTACATGCAGTGGAAATCATGTTTTAAAAATGAGGGGATTAAATTTAGTCTTGTGTAAGGTACACCTCACAAGGAATGTAACATGAAAACACACATAAGCATAGTGGAAAGTGAAATACAAACCAAGCATAATTTTGTGGAATTTGTGGAATGAACATACAAATTTTATTGTTCTGTCAACTTACCTTGGTCCGACCAAGTGCCCAGTTCTTTAATCCTAATCGCTCAAGTAATATTTGACAACTTTCTTTGGTAAAGGTTGGGCGTTCTTTCCAGCTAAATCCTAACATATGATACCTAAATGTAAACAAGCCAACAGTGAGGCTGATGTCCCCCGCCGAAATCCCCAAATAAATAGATGACACATATTAATTAATCGCACATCTATTTTTTTCCAAAGTATCAAGCAATCAAACTGATTATCAACTATAAACTAAGTTTCATCACTCTCTATCAGATAGAATCAAAGTTATCTTGTCCCAAAGCAGGAAATTGCTTATCTCTGCTTAGCTTTAGCTCAATATGTTAATCATTGAACTCAGTCAAGACGAACATCTACATCAAGTTTAAACATTCTACCTCAATTAGAAGAAGAGTTTGACCAATCAACATGCTTATTGCTCGTTGGCCTAAGCAAAAAATTCTCATCATCGAACTTAGTCAAGGTATTGATGTAATGAACTATACACCAAGTTTCATCACTCTCACTTAATTAGAACTAAAGTTATCGTGTTCCACTTCCAAAGCATCAACCAATCAAATTGCTTATCTCTGCTTACCCTAAGCAGAAAATGATCATCTTCGCACTCCATCAAGGCATTGACCTCATTAACCCCTACACCAAGGTTGAACATTCTAGCTCAATTAGAAGGAGGGTTATTGTGTTCCAAAGTCTTGGCCAATCAAATTGCTTATCGCTCTGCTTACCCTGAGCAGAAAATGCTCATCATCGAACTAAGTCAAGGTATTGATGTAATGAAACTATACACCAAGTTTCATCACTCTCACTTAATTGGAACTAAAGTTATCGTGTCCCAAAGCATCAACCAATCAAATTGCTTATATTTGCTTACCCTAAGCCGAAAATGCTTATCTTCGCACTCCATCAAGGCATTGACCTAATAAACACCTACACCAAGTTTGAACATTCTAGCTCAATTAGAAGGAGGGTTATTGTGTTCCAAAGACTCAGCCAATCAAATTGCTTATCGCTCTGCTTACCCTGAGCAAAAAATGCTCATCATCGAACTTAGTCAAGGTATTGATGTAATGAAACTATACACCAAGTTTCATCACTCTCACTTAATTGAAACTAAAGTTATTGTGTCCCAAACAAAGCATCAACCAATCAAATTGCTTATCTTTGCTTATCCTAAGCAGAAAATGCTTATCTTCACACTCCATCAAGGCATTGACCTAATAAACACCAACACCAAGTTTGAACATTCTAGCTCAATTAGAAGGAGGGTTATTGTGTTCCAAAGTCTCGGCCAATCAAATTGCTTATCGCTCTGCTTACCCTGAGCAGAAAATGCTCATTATCGAACTTAGTCAAGGTATTACTGTAATGAAACTATACACCAAGTTTCATCAATCTCACTTAATTAGAACTAAAGTTATCGTGTCCCAAAGCATCAACCAATCAAATTGCTTATCTCTGCTTACCCTAAGCGGAAAATGCTCATCTTCGAACTCCATCAAGGCATTGACCTAATCAACACATACACCAAGTTTGAACATTCTAGCTCAATTAGGAAGAGAGTTATCGTGCCCCAAAGTATCAACCAATCAAATTGCTTATCTCTGCTTACCCTAAGCGGAAAATGCTCATCTTCGAACTCCATCAAGGCATTGACCTAATAAACACATACACCAAGTTTGAACATTCTAGCTCAATTAAAAGTTATCGTGTCCCAAAGCATCAACCAATCAAATTGCTTATCTCTGCTTACCCTAAGCGGAAAATGCTCATCTTCGAACTCCATCAAGGCATTGACCTAATCAACACATACACCAAGTTTGAACATTCTAGCCCAATTAGGAAGAGAGTTATCGTGTCCCAAAGCATCAACCAATCAAATTGCTTATCTCTGCTTACCCTAAGCGGAAAATGCTCATCTTCGAACTCAATCAAGGCATTGACCTAATAAACACATACACCAAGTTTGAACATTCTAGCTCAATTAGGAAGAGAGTTATTGTGTCCCAAAAAGTGTGACGGACAGACGGACGGACGGACAGACAGACAGACAGACAGACAGACAGACAGACAGACAGACAGACAGACGGACGAACCCATTTTAATAGTCCCCTGCTTTCTTCAAAAGGCGGGGGACAATAAAATAAAGAATAACAATAAATTTTGAGAAAATGCAAAACAAATCTTTAAATAATTATACCAGATTTCCAGGTAACAAGCATTCTTGAAAGCACACAGATTCTCACTAATATGGCATTTCTCAGGTGAGGTAAATGTTCTGAATGCTAAATAAATCTTTGACATTTCCCACATTCAAAGTCATTCCATTACATAGATTTGATTTATTAAATCAACCTAAAGACCTTTATGTCACAGTATTATAATATAACTGAAGAATGTTTTTAATACAACCCATACATAAATCATCCATTCGTTCGTTCTTGGTGTTTAACGTCTGCTTCCACATAAGTGATATCGCAGACAAGACATAGGAGAGCCGAAGCTGATTCCTCTTTTTAAGAAATGATTTTGCAATCTTTCCATTTGGCCTTAGGCCATGGATTTGGTTAGTTGGAAGTTCTTCCCTTTATTTAATATAAAACATATCGTTTGGTAGATGATCTTGTCTGCTTCTGGATTGGTAGATGTTATCGTTTGGGGTTAGTGTTTAGGTGCCAGGACTATATAGTCCACACATTCAATGACAAATGCATCACCTAATCAATGTGTGTTAGATTGAGTGATAAATGGATAACATGGTGTGTATTAGAGTCAGTGATAAATGGATCACATGGTGTGTATTAGAATCAGTGATAAATGGATCACATGGTGTGTATAAGAGTCCGTGATAAATGGATCCCATAGTGTGTGTTGAGTCAGTATTAAATGGATCGCATGGTGTGTATTAGAGTCAGTGATAAATGGACCACATGATGTGTATTAGAGTCAGTGATAAATGGATCACATAGTGTGTATTGAGTCAGTGATAAATGGATCACATAGTGTGTATTGAGTCAGTGATAAATGGATCACATAGTGCGTATTAGAGTCAGTGATAAATGGATCACATAGTGTGTATTGAGTCAGTATTAAATGGATCACATGATGTGTATTAGAGTCAATGATAAATGGATAACTTGGTGTGTATTTTAAAGTCAGTGATAAATGTATCACATGGTGCGTATTAGAGTCCGTGATAAATTGATCACATGGTGCGTATTAATTAAGGATTTGTATCACATGGTTTGTATTAGAGACAGATCACACCGTAACAAAATTTAAGTTAAAAGCTGGATGAAGCTTGCAACAATGGTAAATATTCTTATTATATAAAAATTACTGTGTTTTCAGAAACATTGTCTGCGATATCACTTCGGTGGAAGCGGACATTAAATAAAGCTATTTCACACACACAGAAACATTTATTGACCATAGAACCTGCACTTACCTTTTAATAAAATCTGTAAAAGAAACACGGTGGGAGTAGCCTTGACGTCGGATTCTAGTAGTTTCTAAAACACCTGTGTATTTTAACTGTGTCATAACCTTCACTGAATCAAAATGACCAGGATCTTTTTCATCATTGGGTTTTATACACCTACAAATTCAAAGATAAATGCATCAAAATAAATATTTAAAGGACAACATGCCAGAATGCAAATAACATTTCTATTATTGAAATATTATATATCAAATCACATCCATACAGTGCTCTTTAGCTCTTGTGCATGAGACAAGTCTTTTTGTCAGATACAATCAATTTAAGAAGCAAGCTCAGGTCTTGAATAAATGACATGTAATCTACTATGCCGCATCAAACACCATTTGGACACTCAACTCCTTAATCACAAAGCCTTAAGTGGAACAAGCAGATACATTGTATATCGAGTTCTGATTCTATTACTTGCCTGACAAAGTGTGGAGTACCTGTCACCATCTTAGCCAAGAGATCCATAAGTGAATAACGGAAATACGTAGCTACTGTTTGCTGTATTCTGGTCATACTAGCAGACCCAGATGCCTGCTGCAAATAAAATAATGTATTAAAATGATTTTGTTTTAAAATAAGATGTTAATGATAAGTGAGCTGTGTACACTGTAGGAAATGACACATTTGATGAAGATTTTGATTTGTGACCGGAGGATGTCTTGTGTCTGCACACAGCTTTATCTGCCATTATGGGATACCAGTAGGATAGTGAAAAGATAAAATTAATATAGTATGTAAAAAGTCTGTAGCAAATATGGCACTGTTGCAGAGAAATGGGCTCTCAGAACAGGTAATAACATTACAGGTCCAAAGACTGTGGAAATAAAATGCGAGTATAGTGACTCACTGGAGTTTATATTGACAGTAAATTAAATTATGGTACTGCCAAAGCAAATTTCTTATATTCTAAAAGCATCATGCAGTTGCATGCTAAGCACAAGATTATACATCTTTACATTTCAATGTCCATACAACTTCACAATGCATTATACTACATATTAACGGATAAAATATATTATCTAAAAGAGCTAAACCTCTTTGATTAAGGTCAAAATGAAATCTAAGTGAGTACATTTAACATGTTACTTCTATTAATACAGGCAACATCCTCTATATAATTAATAAATTTTGTTTCCAAAGATTAATCACAAGTAGGTATGTTTACTAATTTAACATGACCCATCTACATTTTAAAAAAGACAGATCGTCAATCCGCAAACCAAATCAAAATATAACGATAATTTTTCGTTTTTGACACAGATCAAAGAGACATTGCAATCTTAAGCAAAAACTGTGGCATAACTACAATCATAGGCTAAAATCAAAAAAAAAGAAATGTATTTTATATGGTATCTTAGAAACTAATAAAAATTGGCAATACAAAATATTAAATGAAGATACAGGAGTTTATAAAAATATAACTTCAAGTATTTAGTATTGGAGAACATTTATTCAAATAATGAATACTACTGTAAGATTCTTACTACTGATCTACAAAATTTGATAAGACAAGAAAGGAATTGTAAGGTAATATGCAAACTTTGCTATATAACAGTTATGAGCCCTATATATCAAGACACTGTATGACGTCACAGTAAAGAAGTTAAGATAATTTCATGTAAATTTCTCACTGGTGCATGTTACGACAATGTGTTCAGTATAAATTATTTGGGCAGAAGTACTAGTGTTTCTGAAGTGGTTTCACAACTGATTTAAAAGAGAGCTTTCCATACCCTGCCTCAAGCACAAAATTGAAGTACTATCATCTAAGACTGAGTTTAGATTGATTTAGAGATTTAGTTAAAAAATCTAAACAGCAGAATTTCTAAGCTAAGGTACACATGCTTGTAACTGACTACCAAACAATCAATTATATCTATGTTTAAATTCAAGCATCCAACTATATATGTTAAGTTACAAAGCACACTCATAATTATATAAATATCATATGTCTTTATTAATTCTATCTTTATTTTATTTCATCTTGATGGTTCTGATTTTTTACACTGCCTAAGGACTACCATTACAGAAAATGTAATTAGATCAGTGGATAAGGTCTTGCCATCATTGGAAGAGTTGCAATTTCATTGGCTGTTATATACACAATGATAAAACCATTAAAATGTAAAATAAGGAATATAACACGAAAGAAAAAGAAAATCGAAAAAACATTATTGATTATACATACTTGTGATAGGGGAAGATCTTAAAAGTAAAATAGTAAAAGGGGTGGGGGGGGATGTGTGTGAACTATTATATGTATGGTGTGAACTTTATTGTCATATCATAAAGCACAAATTAAACAAAGTTGTTGATTAAATTTGCACATCTATGAATAGCCTAATATAAATTATAACTTACAAGAGCTGAATAAATCTGTAAACCATAGAATACAAAACAAATACAAATAATTGCCATTCAAGAAGACATTTAAACAATTAATGCCAGTACATGTCATACAGAAGATACAGCTGTAAAAGTATATAAATATCCAACAAAAGAAAAACGTTAAGATAAATAAATACCTCTTTAAGTCTAGATAATCATTCTTGTTTAACATTAATTGCACACAAACCACATGTTTAATACTCCACACAAGAAATACATACACACCTCTTAAGATAGTTATCTTTTTCCAATACTACATACAAGAAATACATGCACATCCCATTAAGATAATCATCCTTAATTAATATGGCAATCAATAAATATTCCCTTCTTATTAATTCAATTATCCTTAATTACCATGACACACAAGAAACACATGCCAATCTTATTAAGATAATTATCCTTAATTACTATAGCACACCAGAAATGCATGCACAACTAATTAAGATATTTTGATCTTAATTCAATACTACACATATTGGGACACAAAAAATACATGCACATCTCACTTTGATGACATGACAAACTTCATACAGATTTTGAAACAAACTGCCTTTTGTAACCCCAAGTGAGCTTATTTAATCATCAATGTTACAAAATCTTTTAATATTTGTTTCTGGAATTTTTGTTAATGCACAAGGAGCAATGTGCACTTCTCTCAAATCCGCGGATGTCTTATTTTAGGAATTTCAAATTTCATTGTTTTAAGACGATTTTTTGTAGATATAAATATCTGACATTACCAGTAATAAGGTACTTCTCCTTTTGCTTCTAAACTTAATAAAATATTTATGTTTAAAGATTTGATTTTAAATAAAGAAGAAGCAGCAAAAACAATGGTGTAAAGGATTTTTAACTTACCCGACTACCACCTAGACTGGTTGTTGATCTAGATGAGAAACTTTGAATAGTAAACCCTCCACCTCCACCATTACCAACTGGTGATGCCAGATTACATGTACTTGATCTAGAACTTGTTTTAGATGAGGCTAAACTATCATACTGTAGATTACCTGCAAATATAGCCCCCAAAATTTGACATTTCCAAGAAAATTGATTTTTCAATTTTTGTTTTCCAATTTTCAACCAATTTTGGATGATTTTATACCGGTATATACAACAATCATCAAGGCCATTAATTTTCATCTCTTTCAGATAGACTTACAATTCCAATGTGTGTTGATTGATTTTTATTACTTGAAAGTTGACTTTAATCTCAGTGAAAACGGTAACTTTATTACAATCAACACTGAAGCATCCATCATTTGAGTAAAATGAGTGTAAGATTAATCCCTACTTCTGGTGAATACATGTATTTCAATGGAGCTCATAACAGATGTTACCCTATTGTGGTACCGTCATTTATTTTGAGAGAGAGAGAGAGAGAGAGAGAGAGAGAGAAAAATGGGGTTTAACGTCCACTCGACACAAACTAGGTCATTTCGGGGCTAACTAGTAACATATGGTTTATTTCAATAATTCGCTTGCGCGTAGGGGTCTTTAGCAGTGGGACTAAACCGGAGGACCCGGAGAAAACCCACGATGTTGGACAGGCGACCCTACTCCTTGTCACGTACAACCGGGGATTCGAAACTACGCCAGTTGACTCAATGACAGGCTTTATGATACAGCACGCATGTGCTAACCTTTTGGCCATCCACATCCCCCCCTCCCCCCCCGGTCATTTATTGAAGATATGAGAGGGAGAATGTAGACCAGAGAAATTTATTTCATGAACTCCTGATAAGATCAGGAAGGATGATAGGTCTGCAAATATCTAGAAATTTATAGCATCCATTGTATACTAATCATTGCTACCTACCAGTTTTAGTAAGAGGTGTCAAAAATAAAGCTTTCACCACAGAGTTTTCTGATGTTCGTAAAATGTTCAAAACCTCTGGTGAGAGGCGATCTCGATTCTTTTCTAGAAATCCTTTAGCATCATACTCTACACGTCCGGCGTAATGATCTATACAAAATGTCAGGTTATCAGCCTTGGGACGACTGTATACTGGTGATCGTATATTCTGGTGAAATTTATCTGTAAACAGAAATAAAGCATACTTCAGAGAGTCTGCATTTTGGAATAAACAAAATCGGTGATGTTGATGTTAAGGTTGTGAACGTCGTTGATTTGGGGCAAAAATAGAATGTTGATCTGACATGCTGTTTTGATTAATAATGAGACAAGCTCTATACAATATTTTCATATTAAACAGGGGGATCACGTGGCTAAGTGGGTAAGACGCTAGCTCGCTAGCCTGGAGGTCGGGTGTTCGATCCCTGCATTGGCCGAGAAAGTTCATCCAGATTTTCCGGCGTGGTTCTCCCTTGTCAGTGATGCAGGACGGAGGGGCTGACAAGGAAAGCTGTCTAGTCGTTTGGATGGGACGAAAAACCGAGGTCCCGTGTACACATTGGCGTGCACGTAAAAGATCCTTTGGCAGTTGGAATTCGATATAAGAGTAGGCCGTAGTGCTGCTGTCCGGGCAAAATTTCCCTCATAGCACACTGTATGGCGTATGCTCGTCTTCATTAGCCCAGGTTAGGAGCAGAACAGTAGGACGTTAAACTCCATTTCATTTCATATTAAACAGAAGTTGGTTTGTTTACATTTATAAATTTTACATCAACATTGGATTTAACTGCTGACCTATAATTTAAATTATAAACAGATGCCCACTCAAAGCAATTTCAAATATAATTCAAAAGTACCAAATTATATGCATGTATCGCTGATGTTTATATTAACCGAACCAAGAACTTGAAAGTCCATTAATGAAGTTCTCCAATAAAAACTTCAAAGTCATGTTATATTATACCCTTTGGAGACAGTCAAAGATTTTTAAATCTACTTCAGTTTGGGACTTTATTTTTAACGACTGGAAAAGATAATAAATGAACGTACCAACAAGGGTTCGGTCTGTAGCTTTTGGAAAATGACTTTCTTCATCAAGTAATGCTAGCAGACCAATAGGTTTCATCAAGAACATGTCTAATATAGGTCTATTATCAACAAACGTTATCTCACTAGCATTTATACCTTCATTCTCATATTCTTGCTGTAACAAAAAATATCGATTTGATAAAGATAATTACATTTATAAACTTGACAAATAGCAAAGACAACTGATAGTACATACATGAACACATCTATGATAATCCAAAATTTCAATGTGAATCAGGCTGTTAGTTACTTGTAACAGATTAAGTGATGCTAATTTAATGGTGCTAAACCTCTTTAATTTAACATAATTAGAGCAAATCAACAATTACATGATGCATTGGAATATTTGACTGTGTAAATTACACAAAGATATATATAAGGAAATTGTGGAAAGTTGAAAATGATTAAATAATGGCTGTTAGCTTACTTTATGTACACCTATTTGATTGAAACAAAGTAAGAACATTTCATCTACAATAAATTTTAACACTTACCATCTCCCAGGCAAATATATGCTGATTAAAATAATACTGTATTTGTTCATTTGCTATATTTATACACACTTGCTCAAATGAATTCTTGACAAAATTCTCAAAACCGAAAATATCTAACAATCCCACGACCAAACTTTCATTACTGAAAAAAACAAAACATTTATAATACATAATTTATTTCATGATAAATGGTATCAGGTGTTCTAGAAAGAGTAAGCATACCCTTATGACAGCTTATGGCACGTGTCTCTACTTATATAGATAGCTAATTAAAATAGTTTGGACATTGATTAGAGAAGCAAAAGCTAGAGGGTAGAAGGCCAACAGCAATCACAAGTCCCATTTGCTTAATAAACGGGTATGATCAGGTCAATTCTATTTCGCTACATTTGTATTCAGTCCATTAAGGGTTAGGGCACAAAAAATTTAGTGCTGAAATGTAGAAAATGCTCTTAGCAAGAAGCTGGATTCCTTTTCATAAGGTTGTAGTACCCACAATACTAGCAAATGGTTCTTTGGCACAACATTCACAGGTTTCCTTCTAGGCATTGGATGTCCACCACAATACGGAATACTGGACATAAACCCAAGGAAGCAATATAAGCAGATGATTCTCCCACGACCCTTATTGCCAGACATTCGATGTCCATACAACTAATTGTGGAAAAAGCATAGCAGTAGAATATTCAAGATAAACCAAGAAAGCCATGTTGTGGCATCCACAAAATTGTTTTTGTTCAGACATCATGTCTTGGTACCAACAACTGAATGTAGAGGCTGCATTCAGACACTTGGTGATCAAAGGGTTATGAATAGGCCTAGTCGATTGAAATATTTAACTTCCCAACTTACTCTTGAGTATTACCAGACTGTGGTTTTAATAACGAACTGATTCTGTTTACAATCCAACTAAACAAACGACCATATAAGGCTTTTGCCATGGCATCTCTGGCATTGACGGCTTCCTGTACACTATTATTACGTATAATTACTTCTCCTTTGGCCACCATTCCTGTCGTTGTTAATGCTTCTATTAAATCTTTGGATTCAAGACCAAGAAGTTTGGAAACTGAAAGTATAAAATTAAATTTGTATTCATTATTACGATTAGAACCATCAAATACCTTCCAACAAGAAAAGAAATGATTCAACTGAATAAAAAATAATCCAACTACAAAAGAAATGATTCAACTAGAACAACTAGAAATGAAATGATCCAATCATTCAACTAGAAAATAATTAATCATGGTCAGTTGTACTAACATTATAGTTTTATTCTCGGTTTGTCATAACTCATAAAATTTCTGAATGTTTAATAAATAGGCGGCACATATAAACTCACACTACATGTATCAATATTTCAATATATTGTGAGATTCTGATGGTAGGTTCATCCTACGCCCATTTCTTCATATATATATATCTCTTTAACAAAATAAATCTGAGTTTTAAAACATTCTAATGAAGCAACTACTGTACATTTTCAGGTGACATTTTGGATACGTTTTTTTCATTAATGCAATTCATTTCAAAATAAAAATGGATGAATGAATTATTGGGGTTTAATGTTTTGTAAATACAATCATTTTGAGACTAACTTACTGTAAATCTTATTTTTATGGTTACATGTGCAATGTGGGAGAGAAAAATTTTACCAGGCATTGGTGTTTTCACATACTTTTCTTTTGTTTCCAATAGCCAGGCGTTCTTTCATATATATCCATGCTTTTGTGTACAAGTGCGGATCTTAGTTTTTCATAGAAAAGATATCTATGACACTAAGATCCCTTTAAGGACAGAGTATGAAATGACCCTAATAGTCAATTACTAAAAGGTAAGTTTGTAAGAAATAAAATGATCTGTATAAAGATGTACCTGTATTAACTAATACTCAATAATGAATTACTAACAGATAAGTATGTAAGAAATAAATGATCTGTATTTGGACGTACCTGTATTAATTAATGCTTTATCCTTTATAACACACTGATCTTCACCAGGTGATTCTTGATGATTAAAAGTAATATTACCTGTATGTAATATACTAGATAATATACTATATACAGCCCGCACTTCCTATAATATACAAGTCAAAACATAAATTACATATCTTACAATATTAAGCTAAAGGGGTTGGGTAGCCGAGTGCTGTAAACTGTCTTCTTTAGATCATAAAATCTGTCATTGAGTCAAGAAGGTATAGTCTCTATTCCCAGCTTGTAAATGACAATTCAAATTTTATAAAAGAAATTAAGTTTTGAAAGTGTATATCTGTGTGCAATATGATTGGTTTTAACCGATTATGTTTAAAAGTTACAGCCAATCAGAGATTCAAGATCATGGAATGGACTATACATGATCCACTGCTACACGCCATACTATACAAGGGATAGCTGTGTGTTGCAGTTGTGAAGTATTTTTTATGTGGTGAAACAATGAGAGTACCCTCTTGAGAGTATAAATGTTTACTAGATCAAAAAAAGTTTTTTAAATTTAAAACTTTAATTGTTAAAATAAAAAAGAACTTATGTAAATAAATAAATTTACCTCTTGTTGAAATCCTATAATGTTAAAACAATGTTGTATTGCTTTAAATTTAACTTTATTACTAGATAAACTGGCTATATCTGGATCTTTACTACTGTATTCCTGTATATATCTATATAACATATACACAAAAAAATAATGTATATATTTGTAAACATCAATTGTCCATGTTATTGTTTTTCATAGTAATGAACTGGAAAGCTTTATTTACAAAAAGAAATAATTCGCATTTGTGCCTTGTAAATTTACATTTTAAAAGAAACAAGGAAAGATCACCAATAGTCTTAATAAATCTCAATGGTAAAGAGTTCCAACCACCTGACTACTACTGTTAATGGTGTTCAAAATAAATTAATATCTTACCTATAGTTAGTTGAAGATTTGAGATGATAATTGTCACTACCTTCACCAGATATCAGACCATCATGTATATAATAAAATATGTGGAAATTCTGTTCACCCCTGAAAAATAACATCATATATACGTTTGTTGTTTGGGCTGTCCCCCTGCACTAACTAATAACTAAAACTTGTAAGTGTCAAAGGATCGAACTTGTGACCTACTGGTTACTCAATGTCAGCCATATATGGTGGCTTCCAATTCAGGTTAAACCCTATTATCTATTGCAATGATGTTACATTGTAAAGGTTATAAAGGTGATGGAATTTGGTAAAGAGCAAAATTTGAAACTTGTAAATACTGTTCTTTGTAAATTACTGTCAAATCATACATTGTTTTAAAGTTACAAAAAAAACAATACAGAAAATCAAGTTTTTTTCTTGGGGGGTTGTTAAAGAAAATATTTTATACATATTTAAACATACATTATGCAAGAGCAAAATCGGCCTATTGCAGGTCTTTCTTTAGGCCTGAAATGTTATAAAAACTATTAATTAGACATTAATTAACTTATCCAGACCATAATCAGCTCTCGATGTCAAGGATTGCCTGCGATATTTGTTGGATTGCAGTCCGATTTGCTGCAAAACTTTCCTTCGTGATTAACGATTAAAAGGATAATCAAGACTATTAGTTTTGTCTTATCGACTTCAGTAATGATGATCGAGGCTAAGCGGAACTTTCATCCGCTTGGTTCTCGGCTCATAGTGGATCAATTTGACTGAAATTTTCAGCAAGTTGCCTTTACATTATGTAGTTTTTAACTATACTATTCAAAAAAAGTAGGGGATATTTGATTTTGGGGGCATAATACTAAAATATGCAAATGACTACGAAAAAAGTCACTATAGAACCTAACAGAAGAAACATTTCCAGTTACATGTGACGCCTAAACGCACCTATAGCTACCGCATGGAATGCAGGTGATGCTTGGGATCATCATGGGGGTCCAACCCAAGATTTGCATGACTCTGACTTTGAATGTTACAGTCATTGTGGCATTGAATTCCAGGGTGGAAACATCAGTTTAATTGTTTTAGTGACCAGCAAACAAATTTTGATATGCGTCGGCTTACCCAAAATGAAAGGTTACGTGCCCTTGGCATGCTACAGATCGGCACAACACAGGCGGTTGTGGCGCGGACGATGAATGTTTCTCAGTCTGTCATAAGCAGGCTATGGTCCACATACCGTGATACACAATCTGTACAGGACAGACCACGCTCAGGTCGACCAAGGGCGACAACTCAAGCCCAGGATCGATTTATCCGTACCTTGGCCTTGAGAAATCGTGTCATCACAGCAAATCAGATCAGCGCTCGTCTTCAAACAGACACTGGTGTGAGAGTGAGTGGCCAGACGATTCGGAATCGACTGCATAGGGGTCACCTTCGCGCCCGACGTCCTCGCGTGATCCCTTGTTTGAGAGATCATCACATTCAGGCAAGACGTCGTTGGTGTAGGGATCGTCAACACTGGGATAATCGACGCTGGAGCAATGTGATGTTTTCAGATGAGTCAAGGTTCACTGTTGATTTTTTGGACAGACGTAGGAGGGTGTGGTGTCGTCGAAACGAGCGCTTCCAAGACGTTAACGTCATCAGACATGATCGATTTGGGGGTGGTTCTGTTATGGTGTGGGGAGGCATCACTGTTGCTGGAAGAACGGCTTTACATGTTGTTGCAGGGCGTGTTACAGGCCAGTACTACCGGGACAACATCTTGGCAGTCCATGTTGTTCCGTTCGCACGACGTCATGGCTGCCGTTTCATCTTCCAGGATGACAACGCAAGATGTCACAGGGCCAGGATCGTTACAGGTTACCTCCAACAACAGAACATCACCACATTACCTTGGCCAGCACTGAGTCCCAACCTCTCCCCCATCGAGCATGTCTGGGACATGCTTGGACAGAGGTTACGTCAACGTCAACAACGTCCTGCCAATGTCCAAGAACTTGCTGCTGCGTTGCAACAGGAATGGGACAATCTGGACCAAAATGACCTTAGACGTCTCATTAGGAGTATGCCACGTCGGATCAATGCTTGTTTGGCAAACAGAGGAGGATTTACCCGTTACTGACTTGGTTGTGATGCTGTGGTAACTTTGCTGTTTGACCCCGGGTATCATTTTACCCGTATAATGGTCAGTCTGTGCCTTACTTAGTCTAACGATCATTTGGAATAAATCGATGAATGTGAACTTCATTTCATTTTGTCATTTGTTTCTTCGTCAGTTTCATTAGGTGACTTTAATAACACTTAAAAATCAAATATCCCCTACTTTTTTTGAATAGTATATTATAGTGAGAACTGCCAACTCGTTATCTCATCTCCCATAATGTATCTTTAACTTACTTAGCTTGATTAATAACTCTTGATTTCTCTAAAAGATACTCGGTTATCTTGGCTGAAATAAATTAAACAACAGTTATACATTGATTGAAAATTAATGCTGGATGGGAGAGAGAGAGAGAAATAGAGATTAATGCCCACTCAATATATGGTGTATTTTATTCCAATTAGTCGTAAGCTTACATAAGCTTCAGATCAAACTCTCCAGTACTTGCATTGATGATCTATAGCTTACACATTAGAATACAAAGGCCCCCTCCCACCAGCACCACCCACCGAAACAAAACAATACACTGTGTGCCGACACTAAAACCACATGGCACAGTGAATACAAAGCTGTTAGTAACATTCACATACAGAATTAAGTCACCCGGACCCCTCTTTTTGTAATCTTGAATGTGGTCTTTCCATACATATTTAGATATTAAGATGATTTTGGTATTGAGGGCAGATTTCCCTTCGATTAAGGGGAAAATAATTTAGTTAAGTGTTTCTCTGTCTGTTTCTTACAGTTAGTCACAAGACAACATAATGTTTGGAATAATATCCTAAAGATAATTACCTCCAACAACGGTACCACTAGATGTAAAAAACATCTCTAAATATTTTCCAAATCTACTTGAATTATCATTTATCACAGTTTTAGCATTTCCAAATGCCTCCATTAATGGGTTCACCTGTAGTATTCTATCTTCTAATGTACGATTTGGTGCCTACAATATAAATTAACACGTCATTAATGTGACGTTAAAGGACTACATGCAGACAGACACAACACTATGTATCTTCTAATTTTTTTGATTTAATAGCAGTGGTCGAAATAACACTTGTCTACTTGTCGAATCCAAGTAATGTCTATAAATTCTGGTTAAAAATGTCTGTCTAATTTATCCATTCCAATAATGTTGGAAAAGGGGAATCTTTCATTTTAAAACAAATTAGATGGTATTTAACAGCACGCGACATAGCTGTCCGTGTCCCCGATTAACATGACTGAAACTTATATAGTCATTTTCAGTTCGTTCTATACGCCTGGAAAAGGTTTCTTTGCATTAAAATGGTAACACTACTGGTTCTAGGAAAGCCGTAATGTCATTGGCTGTTCGTTCTAAATCACCCAATCACAGTCAATATTACATAACTCCATGGCAGTCAGGGCTCAGGCTGTCGGTCGCCAAAGTGGCGATTTGCGATAAAAAAAAAATGGAAGTGGTGATTAAAATTTGATTTTAGCATACTTGGCGGTAAAAAAATCTTAAAATTCTAATCGTATATATATATATCTATCCTTGATTGACAATTATCGTGAAATTTAAATGTCAATCACAACCAGTACCACGTGGCAAACAGGCGACATACATCAACTAATAACTTTTAGTAACTAGCTGATAATCCGGATCGTGTCATTGAGTAATACTATACTGATCATTTGTCTTTGATTAATGATTATAGTTGATTAATAATTGCCAATGATCTATATAAAGCCGATTATTTTTTATTTGAGGTTTCGTTTTGTCTTAAAAAATTAAAAGAAATATGGCCGACAATTCTTTCCGAAGAGAACTAAATATTTTGATAGTTGAATTCCATTTACTGTGGTTTCTTTTGGCATGGAATATACAAGCATGCCTAATTGTATATTATGTTAAATTATAATATCACCATGGGTCGGAAACGGAAGAACAACAAACGAGTCGAATAGTGAAGATTCTTGAGTGACAAAACGGTCTGTCATTTGTTTCATTACCTCCGCCAAAATGTGTTAAAGTGAACACTAAGTCTGATTGTACAAGTAAGCATCTTACAAATGAAATTGAAATATAATAAGTTATTTTTTTAAATTAAAAACAAAAATCAATGGTGACAACTTGAAATGACCAAATGACAAGTAAAAAATATTTCTACTTGTTACCTGAGACAAGTAAAATTTTACAAACATTTCATTCAACCCCTGAATAGTTACATATAAATGGAAGAATATAGCCACTAGTTTGCCTCTTTAATTTCTTGATCTAAAGCTTTAATGCATGGTCTAGTTGTCCTTTCGATTTTAAACCCCTTAAACAGCAATATATAAAGCTGAATAATTACTGAAAATCACAAATTAATACATGGATAATTCCCTGCTTCCTTATCTTGAATCTGATATACATGTAGTAAATAATCATAACCCAACGTTCAATGCTAAATACTATTTAACATTTTTAAAATATATTCTAGTATGTTACGGATTAGAGTGGGGTAAATCTATCTATTCTGAAGATTAGGCCATAAATATTTGTTTATTTAGCAAACGTGCATATCAGTCAACCAAATGAATATGCAGTATATGATGATCAATCCATAAAAAGCTTTTGAAGCAGTTATTATACTGCCTGACTTAATAAAATTTATTCCCACTCTTCAAAAAGAGTTAATAAAAACATTAAATTATTCAATTAGTTCAACTCTAAATATACCTTTCCCAGTTGAGTTAAATGTTGAACTAAAAGATTAGCACTTTCTGTTTTACCAGCACCCGATTCTCCACTTATAACAATACACTGAAAATACAATGGAAGAAACGTATATTAGTTATGCTCAAGACAGTGTATACTTAGATCCATGTCTTAATAAACTATTTTAACAACAGCCATTTTCAATTTCAGAGTTTTCATTGTGGAGGGACTACACATAAAATTTATGGGCTAGTTTGAAAATTAATTCATTTCGGAGTTACAATAAGCCAAACAATCAAACAAATTTGATATGTATGGCATAGCAAGGTTTTGGCAATTGGGGGCATTCACTTTGTAAAATCATTGCACAACTTTGAAATTCAATAGGGTTCCGTTTAGAATTAGCTGAGAACAATCCCAACCAGCTTGGAAAAAATCTTGAAAAAAATTTAACCTGTAAAGTGTTGACGAGGTTCCAGAAAAATGGCAGTAAATCTGCTATATATCAATCGATGAGTGATTCTGAATTTTAAAAGAGTTCCTCCTTACAATATGAGTAGTAGAACAATTTCAGCATGTTTCAAAAAACAAATCTCTAAAAACTCTGACTTGTAGAGCGTAGACAAAGTTTAATTTACTGGGGCAATAACTCCACATAAAACTAAATGCCAAAAAACCCCAAATGTACATTTTTAAAGTATGAATATCTTGTAGATTGAATTGTACCTGGTTATTTTTATTATGCATCATCAGTTGATAACATTGATCAGCTACTGCAAATATATGTGGTGGATTTTCATCTTTACTGGCGTTTATATATTTTTTTGTATACTGAAATATAGATACATAGTAACTTCATTATTAACTTCAATGGGATATCAATGGAATTCATAAGAATTTCAGTTTCTGATATGTTATTATTTTCAGGCCAAACACTTCAAATGTAATGAAATGTGAGTCTGTGGTTCTACTTTTCTGATGAAAAAAGGGTGTGTGATAGTCTGAATTTTATTTTGTCAAAAGGATTGTGTAACTAAATGATTTCTCATGAACATCACATTTCAAGGTTCTAAATTTTTTTCATTTAATGCTGTTTATAGGAATTCACTAATATAGTTACTAATTCTTGTCTTATATATCTAATATTGACTGTATGATGTTAAGCTTCATGATCAATTACGATTATTTATTACAAACAGTAATTGTTGTCTTGATCATTGAAACTTTTGGCCAGGGGCGCCACATAGGCATGTGAGGGCCCTGCGTATAGAAACAGTAATTGATTAACCTACCTCTTCTGTATATATAGACATAGGTGTAAATGGATTTAATGCCAGTAGAATATCACCAATATATGTATAAATCATATCTTGTATATAACGATTTAATAACTGTGATACAATCAACTCCTGTAAAATTACAATCATAGAAAAATATTAAAAAATACACAACTATATAACATATCAAACAAAAACTGTGATACAATTAAATCCTGTAACAATACAATCAGAAGTTTGAACTTTCTATCTCAATTAAATAACTTCACATAGATGTATGTATTTAAGTTATCTGGGATAGCATAAACTTCTATATATAAGTCAATTAGTTGGAAAAGGGGGACAACTTTTGTAGTTCCGACAATTGTTATGGAAAGAAATGTGCTGATTAACAATGTTTGACACCATGAGTGAATTTTAAAATTAGTAGATATCATAAAGAGTTAAATTTTAAAAGATGTGATTATTAATATGCATGGTTCAAGTCTGAAAGTCAATTAACTCGAAAGTATAAAGGAACACGTCACCTCATCCAAATTTTCCATTTTAGCCAGATCTTCAGATGTAGAAACATCTTTACGTGATTTTCGGCCCGATTTAAACTGTCCATGTTTTGTTGTAACATCAGGTGCAGTCACTGTTTTTTCCATCTTAGTTGTCATGGCAACTAATTTCTCCTCAATCTAAAACAAAATAGAAATAAAAGATAATAATAAATAAAAAGATAGGTTGCCAGGCAACGAAACATACGCCCACAGCAGCTAAATCGTCCGGTGAGTCAACAAGAGTTGTCGCATATTTTTACTTTTTTCGGTAATTAAACATTTATAATACATTAAAATCTGATAAAGAGTAACAACTAATTAAGTAATTATCAGAAAACCATTAGAATTTGTTTGGTTTTTATAAAGTTCTGCCCCATGCTAATGTTTAGTATAGAAAACTTTTAACATCATGGATTTAGTTGTTCAAGTCATAAAAATTCATTGAAAATCAATATACTTGTTCGTCTCAAGACCTTAAACTCTGTGTATCAATCTGAAGTCAATCGGATGATAACTTTAGCCTCTAGAGCGTCAGAAGACTTTTCAAAGTGATCAAGGGCCATAACTCTTGCAGTAATTATCGGAAATCGCTGAAAATCAATAGGCTTCTTCGTCTCATGACCTTAAACACTGTGTATAAATTTAAAGTCAATTGGATATTAACTTTAGCCTCTAGAGCGTCCACAAGATTTTTCAAAGGGATCAAGGGCCATAACTCTGGCAGTAATTATCGGAAATCGCTGAAAATCAATAGGCTTCTTCGTCTCATGACATTAAACACTGTGTATAAATTTAAAGTCAATCGGATATTAACTTTAGCTTCTAGAGCGTCCACAAGATTTTTGAAAGTGATCAAGGACCAGAACTCTGGCAGTAATTATCTGAAATCGCTGGAAATCAATAGGCTTCTTCGTCTCATGACCTTAAACACTGTGTATAAATCTAAAGTAAATCGGATATTAACTTTAGCCTCTAGATCGTCCACAAGATTTTTTGAAGTGATCAAGGGCCATAACTCTGGCAGTAATTACCAGAAATTGCTGAAAACCAATAGGCTTCTTCGTCTCATGACCTTAAACACTGTGTATAAATTTAAAGTAAATCGGGTATTAACTTTAGTCTCTAGAGCGTCCACAAGATTTTTTGAAGTGATCAAGGGCCATAACTCTGGCAGTAATTATCGGAAATCGCTGAAAATCAATAGGCTTCTTCGTCTCATGACCTTAAACACTGTGTATACATTTAAATTCAATCGGATATTAACTTTAGCCTCTAGAGCGTCCACAAGATTTTTTGAAGTGATCAAGGGCCATAACTCTGGCAGTAATTATTGGAAATCGCTGAAAATCAATAGGCTTCTTTGTCCCATGGCCTTAAACACTGTGTGTAAATTTAAAGTCAATCGGATATTAACTTTAGCCTCTAGAGCGTCCACAAGATTTTTTGAAGTGATCAAGGGCCATAACTCTGGCAGTAATTATCGGAAATCGCTGAAAATCAATAGGCTTCTTCGTCTCATGACCTTAAACACTGTGTATAAATTTAAAGTCAATCGGATATTAACTTTAGCCTCTCGATGGACGGACGGACGGACGGGGGTGACGACAATATACGACCACATTTCAATGTGGGCGTATAAAAACGCAATGATTAGACTGAAAGTGTAGGTGAGACATAATGCAGCTGACATATTTACAGACACAAGAAAATCGACATCAACCCATGGGGGCCATGCCAACTTTACTTACAGTGAAAGTCAGCACAAAGGCAAAAATAAACAAATGTGGTTGTTCTGACCTAGCTTGTTAAAAACCATTTTTTATAGTCCTGATTTGTTTGTGTTTTGAGGAGATTGATCTGTGATGTCTTTAGGTGATCATGAAAACATCTGTTACATTCAAAATTGCAAGATTTAAAGTGTATCTAATCATTTGTTCATTCCTGGAGTTTTACATCCACTTCCACCAAGGGTTATAAGTCATTGTGTTCTAAAATAACTAGACAAGTTTGGATTTAATTACGTGGGTATCTTTTTACATGTAGGATTTTAGGTCCAAACTCCAGAGATAATGTATGAATAAAAATCAAAACAGTTTAAGCAAAAATGAAATGATATGGGGTTTAACGTCCTACTGTTCTGCTCCGACTGGGCTAATGAAGACGGGCATATGCCATACAGTGTGCTATGGGGGGAATTTTTCCTTGGGCAGTGGCAACTATGGCCTTCTCTTTTATCGAATTCCAACTGCCAAGGGATCTCGGTTTTCATCCCATCCGAATGACAAGACAGCTGTCCGTATCACGCCCTCCGTCCTGCACCACTGACAAGGGGAAACCACGCCAGAAAATCCTGATGAACTTTCTCGGCCAATGCAGGGGTCAAGCACAGGTCCTCCAGGCTAGCGAGCCAGCATCTTACCCACTTAGCCACCGTGGCTCCATCAGTTTAAGCAGATAGGTAATAAATGAATTCAGTTGTCCATGGAATAACCTTTATCAATGACAAATTGTGTTAACTCTTATCAAAACACCAAGGAAATGCCCTACCCCAACTGACTAATCTCATAGTTAAATGCAAAATCTCCATGAAAATGATCTTTCCTTTTTTAAAAGGTTCACAAAATACTGACTTACACTTGGTATATCTTGGTCTGTAATTTGTCTTATAAAAGGGTGCTGTAGAAGTTCATCCGTAAATGGTCTCTGTTCAAAATCTTTCACTAAACATCTGAACCAAAATAATTTTTACTAAAGTAATAATATATATATAAGAATAAGATCTCACTACAAACGAAATCATTGTGGGACTACCATGACCTATTTTTAATTCAAAGGTCTATAGCAGGGGGGTGTCAAACATGCGACCTGCGGGCCACATCTGACCAGCCAAGGGTTTAAATGTCGACCGTGGAACAAATCTCAACAAACTGGCATGTCAATAATTCTTAGAAACTAGCGGTGGAAATCGTTTATTATTGTTTTCCGGTTTCAGTAAAACTCTGATTTCTGCACTGTATGTCATAGGCATCTAAGTTGTATTTAAAACAAGAGAACGATATCTAACGATTTTAGTCAAATATATCACTAAAATTTTCTTTATCTTGATAGTTTTGTATATCTCCGGTCCATTTGATGTAAAATTTTAGTTCATGTGGCACCTGAATCGAAATGAATTTGACACCCCTGGTCTATTGCACAGGAGACCTTTGAAAAAAAACATCAACGCCATACAGATGGCCCTGCTCATCATGTACAAAGGTTGAATTTTTTACAACTTTGCATAGGTGGCCGAACTTCTGATTTACAACAACATTACAACTTTAGCCATTGAAGCTTGGTTTGAAGTCTTTGTGGTAAGATATTTTATCAGAATGGGATTGGGTAACAAGTTTAGTCTATGTAAAACCTCTTTCCCGAAATATAAACTGACATTTCTAATAAATATTTAAAATCTGCTTGACATATTAATAAAATTATGAACTGGTGTAAAAATCATAACCCACCTTTTAATAAAATCTAAAAACTCATCTGACCAATCAGAAGGTTTAGCTACAGTTGGTGGTGGATTTCTGGAAGACAGAAAATGCAACATAACATAAAGACAATGTATTTGAATAACTGGTAACTGAAAAACAAACAAACAACCTTAAAAACAACAAGCTACTTGGTGATATTTAATCTTCAAAAAATAACCTTGTTCACCTATATATCACCATGCACATGAAGAAAAATATTTTATTATTTTTATCCATGCAATTTATTCACAAAGCATACAATTTTAACTTATCACCATAAATGTACATTAGAGATGAAACACTTGAGCATACATATATCCTTATCTTTGAACAGAAACAAACAGAATCAAATTTCCCTTTCATCTAGAAATCAAGCAATCCAAAATGCTTTGTCAATCCCTAGATATATCAGCTTTAGTGATATGCAAATGTTTAACACTTGGTTGTTCCACTAATGGCAATTTACGCTAGACTGCCAGTCTGCAGGAATCTTATATTCAAGATTATTTTACATAATGTTAATCAGCTATATAAGAGCCATTATAGTATTTTATAGCCAAAATTTGGTTGTAATCTTAAAATATTATTAATAGAATAATTCACATATATGTCGATGAGGTCCCCAACAGGTGTAGAATTTTTTACTTTTATAAATAAAATAAGTCCTATCAGATGATTATGTGACCTTTTCAGAAACAAGATTTGAAATGATAGATTATGCAATCTGTATTTGCATTATATGTGCTCAATGCATTCTTCACATGTTAAAACGCCATGAATTTGTGTGTGAATTAATAAATGGGGATAATCAAATATTGATGATGTACAATCTATGTTTACATTAACCAGAATTCAATATAGAGATTGATATCAAACCCACGAAACCAAATCAATTTCATCAACTGCCATGCTATTGCTATAGAGTATTTCTAGTATAAAACCAGCAGTAATTGCGTTGACACTATCTATAATCCACACATAATTATTTTAACACTACAATTATCAAAAAACTGATTTGTTATTATCACACCAGTGAGATTACTGAGATACAAGTTGTATTACAATAGTAAACTTTGTATGGAAGAATTTTATTGACAAAGTCTTATTGATTTTAGCTGTTTAACAAATCCAATGAAATAGATCTCATTTTCTTGTTTATTTTGACATCTTTTACTAATCACCAACAAGAGTATTTTTGTCTGAACTGTTTATCCAGTGAAAGCTATAGTTTCTCCTTGTCAGTATTGCTTTGCCAAATGTCAATAATCCACAGTTTTTGTCAGGTTTTTTTATGAAATCACTTAGATTTTTGATATATGTAGGATATGCATAACTATAACTTATCCAATCTGATTAAAATACAAATCTATACAGGTATTTCATTTCGTTTTTTTTATACTTTCGATGAACTCCACTACATGAAGAGCTGACCGGTTGTAGTTGGAGGTCATACAAGCAGCTTTTGACCCTATGACATCAGACATTTGATTAACTAATCAGCATCGATGTTTCTAGTGGGATACACACAGTTCCGTGCACCACACTAAATAAAAACAACATAACACAAAATATCAAAACAACATAACAAAATATCAAACAACATATCACAAAATATCAAAACAACATATCACAAAATATGAAACTGTTAGCAACTTGAACCCACTGCAGGACATTACTCTCACTAAGATGAGCCATGTGACTAGTGTTCCAGAAAGGGTAAGCACAAAAATACACCAACAGCAATGATCCTATATTTACTGAACTCAGCCAACAATAATTTCTGTACTTATATATTATCTAGATAATAATAATGGCCTTAGCACAGTCAACTTCAGATTTTATTTTATACTATTTTGAGGTCATCAAACTACGTATTTTAATAATGACAAATATCCACGTCTCATCAATATTCTATACAACTAGGAAATAATGCCAAGTAAAACAATTCTCACATAAACTCATCATCAATGAAATGCTAAATAATTATATTTTAATTAAGCAGGACACAAACAATTCTGTTTGGTCATCAATGCCTACATGTATATAGATTTATTTTTTTAAATATCAGAAAGCATGGAATTCTATCCTAGTAATAGTATAATCTATCTAAATGTTTATAATGAAATGATTCAAGAGAAAGGTCAATATACAGAACCCACATAGTTAATGAATTAGAGAAGTGTTATTAAAGAAGATTGACAATCTATTTGTATTCTCTAACAAACGACTGATAATGATGAAAGCTATCCAGATAAACGTTTATAAAGAATCTAGCACTATGTTATTTAAAGAGTATGATAGTGATGTTAGTACATCAGTCAAATTTGGTGTGTTGAAAGAAAATTTTAGTTCTATTCCTAATTTATTCTTTTCAACTGACAACTGCTACATTTTGTTTTGTGATGTAAATTTAGTTTGATGTCTGAACAGGAGCATCTAGTGGTTTAACGTCCTACTGTTCTGCTCCTAACCTGGGCTAATGAAGACGGGCATACGCCATACAGTGTGCTATGAGGGAAATTTTGCCCGAGCAGCGGCACTATCGCCTACTCTTATATCGATTTCCAACTGCCAAGGGATCTTTTACGTGCATTCCAATGTATACACGGGACCTTTTTTTTCCGTCTCATCCGAAGGACTAGTCAGCTGTCCTTGTCAGGCCCTCCATCCTGCATCACTGACAAGGGGGAACCACGCCGGAAAAAATCCAGATGAACACTGTACTAATTTGATCAGTTGACGTCCTATTTATATTGATAGGAGCAAGGGCACTGAAATCCGGATGTACACCAGATTTAGTTCCGCCACCGTCCTTAGTGTGGTATGATGAAGTGAGAACTTAATGATACCAAGAAATTTTTGGACTGCATATAGTCTTTGTATTTGTGTACATCTGTTTGTTACATGGGTTTTTTTTAACAGCTTTGCTGTTTAATAACCTAGTCCCAATTCAACTAGAATACCAATGGTCAACTTTTATGTTCAATTGGTGAAAAGTCAAAGTATCTGCTATAATTCTGTATGGAAAGCATGTCTAAAGTTAGACAGTCCTGTTGACTAGTCATACATTACGAGTAAACAATACAGAAAATTATGTGTTCCAAATGATTCAACATTTGAGTTACATTTGGCATTTATTTTGAAAACTTTCATTCACTTGCACAAGATGTAACCTACGAAATATGAGACTGCTCCTTTAAGAATAATTTGGTTCAATGATCGGTGTATAAGCAAACATAGATTATAATAAATCATGTTATTCAGTGAGAAAATTAACAATAACATTTAACATAAACAGATCAATACATCATCAATCAGGTAATGATCAAATTATTTATAGGTCAACTAATACAGACAAGTATACATCACAACATTCAGGTAACAACCTCTATCTGCATACATGATTACCGGATTATAAAAAAAAATAGAAATAAATAAATAACACTGCTACTAATAAATGTATATATTAACATTCTATTTAATTTATTAGTAATTCTAAATCTAACTTATTTCAAGCAACCCTAAAGTAGTAAAGAAAAAGAAAAAAAAAAAAAAAAAAAATTTCTAAGCACTACACTGTAAACGGATCTTTAAATAACAAGCACTTGAATTTTATAAATTTCAACACAGATTCGCTTGATTTCGAAACAGAAATCTCAACTAGATATTATAATAGAATATATTAAAAATTAATGCATAATAATATTGATTGTATGGACGACTATATTCTCACTGTGATTTACAGTTTCCTGGCAATGTCATTTAATCTCTGATAAAAATCAACCATAGAAAAAAAATTGCTTCAATAAAAATACAAAGAAAAGAAAGTTGAACACAGAGCTTAATTTTGCTTTCATAATCATACTGAAATGGCTCCGAATTCATGTTCAAAGTTCAAAAGTTTGGTATTTAAAAGGCCTAATATTGCAGTATAACAGCAAATACATGTATAGACTTTCAAAACATACTGGTAGACAATCAAAATATATTGGTCTAAATTGAATAAATCAATCAATATTAGTCATATTCAAACTATGATATACTAAGAAAATGAATTAATAACAAATTTTAGAATTTAAATCTGAAATCCTGCTCTTTTTGACAGTAGCTAATAATTTTTATTTTTAAACCCCAAAACTATATGGAAGAGGAACTGATTTTTCTTTGAGCAGAATCTTTTAATAATTAAGGGTGACAACATTCTAGCCTCCAAAATGCCTGCAATCATAAAGCTCCTGTACACACTGATGTAAAATAAAATCTTACCGCCTGAATGTCCATACTCAAAATGTTCAAATTTCTGACATTTTACCATCCAATAAGAAACACCTTATTGCAAATACATAATGACTCTACATAAAAAACAACTTATCCAATCCAAAATATTTTTAACTATTTCTGGAAAGCAGAAAAACTTAAAAATGTAGTTAATAAAATAAGACTACCAAAATTGAAATTCTACAAACTATTTAGTTTTTGTCCTTTGAAAAACTGCTTTGGTAACAAAACTCCCGATGGAGAAAAAAAAACTAGAACACCACAGTTCAAGCATACCTAAAGTCTATTCTGATAATCATAATTCATAATTTATATCAGTTCTAAACAAAACTATTTACCCCAAAGCTAATTTTATACAATCACTTACTTGATTTAGATGGCTGATTAAAAGAACCATTAATGTCCTTCGTAATACACATTAGCCATTAACGACAATGCTTTGTATTGATTCGAACTATAAGGTGCTGTGGTACATTACAGAAATCTACACTTCTATAGAACCAATCAGAGCTAATTATCAGCTCATTACAGAAAGAACATGTGTATTATACATATATTGGTACAACCCATTCAATCAACGATAAATCACTGTATCAACAACAATTAAATACTAGGGTGTGGTCTTGTACATACTCGCTTCATCTAGCATCTTTCATTGACTTTTACCTAAGTAGCTTATATCATGTGTACATTTAGAACTACTAACAGTAATGTAATGGCAGAATCATTACTATCTACCTTTTATTTAAACTGTCGGGGATATACATACATAGTAC